CAGCGACCAACCCCGGTCGTCTACGGTTGACCAGTGATCCAGCCTGGCGGGGTCACAGAGTCAGGGTGAAGTTCACAAGGGCGGGCTCCCCACACTGGACAGAGTACTCGCTCACACACATCGACTATCCTACTAAGTCTACGATCGGACAAGAAAACATAGAACAAGACGAACGGGCGTGCGGGTGCATTGCTTTACCTTGTTCATCGTCTTGAGCATGAGGCTCTGCTTCTCATCTTGCCGGTACTTCTTCTCCTTTTCTTCAGGCCACTCATTGCGCTGAAGACTCTCATCGATGATGAGGTCGAAGAAGGGATCTGGTTCACCACTCATGTCGGAGGTTTGTATCGACTGTGAACTACCACAACCCATCTCACGACGATATAACGCCGCAATCGAGAGAGAGAAGAGTGCACTTAGCAGAGCTCCGAACCCTGCCAGGTATACTGGGACTCGCACTAGGCAGTAGTAGCGCTAGTGGCACAGCAGACAGCCAGTCGGTCACACCAGTACTCAGTATAGATACAGTCCACAGTGCAGTACAAACCGTGGGGTACAGTTGTTCATACTGTGGCACTGGCACTAGCAACCCCCAACAGCTGGATGCACTTGTATAGTATCCGAATGATGAGAGGCGCATGAAAATGAAGCTACCGTTTCGGTAGGCGTGGACAGAGATTGAGTTGTGTTCTACGCTTCCAGCCGGAGGAAAACAATCACACGCACACAGACGCAGAGTTCTGCCAGGCACACGATGTGTAACCACAGTGCGGGGCGTCGCTTAGCAGCATGTTTACAGCTCCGTCTTTGGAAGCTATGACCTGCTGGCTAGGACAGCGCCGCACGCGTCGTGTGTCGTCTGGTGGACAGCGTCTTGGGTGGGCAGTTTGGCAGGACTAGTGGAACTGACCGGACTGGTCGTACAACACTGAGCTCCTCCAGTTCTTCGCAGGGATGCCTATTTACTACCAGTGTTGCTATGCAATGGCTGTACAATGTATCATCAGTATCAGTATTAATTTTGCTTTCCGCATCGGTATCAGTATCGCTGAGGCAACTGGGCAGTGTTTTAAACTGCTCCTAATGCTCCATGATTGTACACCCTTCCAGCCTCAGGCCCAGGTCTGCGTTCAGTCCCACTTTCGCCTTCAGCTAAAACCCTGCTTACTGCATTAGCGCCATTACTAATAGTGTCCTGATGCTGAATTAATTATTTCCGGAAAAGAGGCTTGCTGCAAAATTTCGGACCTTTTTCAGGACAGAATTTGAATGTCTGTGGTCCTTTCCATCGATGACCTACCAAATGGCCAATTCTGACACCTTGACCGACTGCATGTACTGTGGATACATTCGCCTTTCAGGGATAGATTTGCATGGCGAGGTGAAGGGAAGTAACTCTAGTCTGCACACTAGCATATTATCTTATATCTTGAGGGTGCAATTGGCACTTGTTGGCCTGAATATAGATGTAACACATGTGCAGGACTGCTGAATGATCACGGGGCACTATGAACACACTTCCTGTGGGTATACCTGGTCTTGACAACTTCACTCCTACATGTACTGTAGATCCTGACTCGTGTTACCATTGGTTACATACAGCCCCCGAGCCGTACAGGAGCTGCATGTACAATGTACAATGTATATCCAAGCGCGAGCTACATGTGTACATTGTATACTTACATGGGTTCTCCGCATCTAAAAATATTCCTGAGTGTAAGTTAGTTGGGATTTAACGTTGTTACCATAATATCTTCTTTGGTAAAGAATGCTGAGACGTCACAGTGTGTGCATGACATTTCAGCAGCGCTATGTATGGACCGCTGATGTCAGCGAGTGAGAAGGATTATGATTGTGCAGGACATGGCACAGTTACGCAGCTAAGTACATGTATTGCTGCATTACCTCAAAGTACAGTCGTGTAGCGAAGAAACCACACACAGAAATAACTTCGCTGGTAATACTAGTGGTGTTAGACTTAAAGTTAAAAGAGAGCTAGCTCATAGGGAGTCCTACCTAAGCTGCTAAAGCAAGCACATGATTCGTGAAAGACAACACTTCCCTCACTGATGAAACATGACTACTTCATGCCTCAGGCCAAGAAGGCAAGGAAGTATACAGGCGCACTTGTGCGAATCGCACAGTTAAAATTGCACACAGCTGGCAATCTTCACTACATGTAAGAAGTATTATGCACATGATACACGATAGAGCTGGCATTGTAATGTTTATCATTGCACAATGTTGTTTGGACACCCCTTCGCAGTATGGCACAATCTGACGTCTCATTTCCTTCCCGACTGGAAGTGAATTCATTCTGGTCATACTTCCTTCTGCTGTGAGGCAGTGAATACGCAGCCATTTGGCCTGCTCTCATAGTCGGAGTCATAGTCACACATCTGGTTTGGATAGTACAATTACGTATCTGTGTCTGTGATAGGTCCTAGTGTAATGTCTACTGCATGATACTTGATAGGATGGGGGAACCAGCCTCAGTGTTCCTCGAATGTACATGCATGTATGTCATTGTAGCTACATTACCTGTATGTGTGGTACAAACGAGTCTGAACCGGAGGACTCCGCTCTCTGTATGTGTCGTTCATGTACTGGCATGAGATCGAGAGGCATCAGTATCTGGAAGAACACAGGTACACTGCACCTGATGCCCGTGATGGCAGATGCGTGTTACGTTATGTAGTGTGTTGAAGCAGACTCCATGATCCAGTGCAATCCGTGTCTGGAATTCAACCCAATAACGGAGGACCACAGCGTAATATAAAGCGATGGCAAACCGCAACCATAGACTTCAAGTCCTCAATACAGAAGGTGAGAAGAATGTTTCGGTTTGTTACTTGGAAAACAGTCATATGGGCGCATGTGTCCAAAATGCCTAACCTATTGGGTGGACATATATGCCTACCGACTAGCTTGAAAGCAACTGCGTTAAGCTAAATGGATCATGCTTGTCCGACCTGTGAATTGTGAATTTCCCCGGAAGCCTGCGGTTTAAAATGACGTATCAGTGCAGGAGATCCAGTAATGTATCTGTCTCGTCAGTGCACAATTCTTCCAAATGACATTTAAAAATGTGAAGAAGAGGTTGGTGCGACTTCGGCGATACTTAGGGAAGTGCGTGTTGCTCCCGGTGTTTCAAGTCAGCAGGAATAGCCCAAGCTCACACGTAGGGAGCAACACACAATTCCTGACATAAAAATACAGTGCAATCCAAAATGTCAGGCCAGGCCCATCAAAGAGACCGTCTTGGGTAGTGGTGTATAACTGTGTGTGAGAGATAGAGTGGCTACAGTGGAATCTGCAGACCCTGAGGGAAATGGTCGGCATTGCTTGAGGCAATTACACGCGCCTACTAAACCAGGCGTGCTTGAAGAGCTTGATGGCATATTTGGGCGATTTAAACGTTGAAATATTATGTAAGAAAAACAATTATTATGCCATTAAGGATTGTCACACTGTGTGAATGGTACCGTTGAAGTCACTGGACGAAGCCTCCTCCACTTCTACTGTTTATTCTCCACCATCGTGACCAGCTTCTCATGCAGGGATTTCACAGTGTCGGCATACTTGGTATCCTCGGCGAGGTTCTCATTTTCGAAATCGTCCATGCTACTCTCCGCGTCGCCAGTATGAAGATACAACTCAGTGCCATGATTCTCGGACCAGATCGGCTTGGGATCTGCCAGCGAGTAGTTGAATTTCACCCACTCGGTGTAGCGGAATTCTGCAGTGCGTATCGTGTAGCCCATCGGCGATTCCTCCAACGGTGTCCTCTTCTTTCCGCAAACGCCTTCCCGCGCAAACTGCGACATGGCCGCATCCTTGACAGTCTGTGTCGGGTCGTCCAGAATCGGCACCAAGCTGAACCCTTCCATGTCTGGTGCTTGAGGTAGCCCGGCTAGCTCTGTCAGAGTGGGGAACAGATCGACTAGCTCCACCATGGCCGAACTCTTCGTGTTGCGCTGCTTCTGGCTGGGAGCGCTGATCAACAGTGGTACGTGTGTGCCCAGCTCAAAGTTGGTACACTGCACATGATTGGGAGGGAAAAGAAAGCACAGAGTATGCAAAGAGGTTACAACTTGAAGCATGTCAACTTGCCGAGCAGGACCCTTATCCATCATGATGGAAGTGTTGTGCTGGCGTGGGAAGGGAGAGATGATAGGTAATCCACAGTAATGCATTGAAGCCTGATGAGTGATCGGCCAGTGCAATCAAGTGTTGATGTTCACAGAATCCGAGAGAAAAGATCAGTAGGCGTATGTCCCAAATTCCCGCCCCCACGAAGTTCAAAAACTTGTGATTTGCAATTCCTTCTCCGTTCATTGTATAGGTATTACTTCTAGGGCTGCAATAGTGTGTGCCCTGTACTTTAAGTACAAGCATACGTCCAATATGAACCGCATGTGCACAACCAATGGTCCATACACCCTATATGCACAGCATACATGTCCTGTCAACCTTGTGAATGACAACCTCGGATATAACAAAAACTCGCGAATAACATTAACAACACTCTCTTCGGACCAAGGAACCACTTGACCACATACCTTTAACCTCACGAATAACAACAACTGGGAACAAGATTTTTCTCAGGGCCGTTCAAGGGAAGTTATTTGCAAGGTTGACTGTATGGCTGCAGAGGCGTCGGAAGGTATTTTAGGATCGGGTACGGTCAGCCACCTGAAGTACAGCTGTGTCTGTATGTGTGTGTGTGTGAAAGTTTTCGAACTTTTGAACCTAAATCAGTGCCGATAATTGATTCGTGGGCACCTGGGACAAAGAGTGGTACGGTCAAAACCGTAGGGACCATAGCGTGTCCGACGTCCCTGTATGTCACTCACTCTGACATGATTCTTACCTTTCCCCATTCACTGTGCTCCCCAAGCTGATAGCCGTGATCTCCCCAGAACACGATGATGGTGTTGTTGGCAAGACCGTTTGAGTCCAGAGCATCCAACACCTGAAGTCAACAACAAATGATCATTTCACCCAGGCCAATTTGTACACAAACAGCTAAATATCTTTAGCGACACCAAGGGCAAACCTAGCGATGTGAACCACAGTCGGATTTTCAAACAAAACGTGACTATCCAAACCTCTCAAATTCCTTTCATGGGTCAATGCTGAGTCTATGCTCAGCTTGTTCACCAGAAATGCACCCACAGAGATTGTTAAAATCAACCAAAGTTCCGTATCATACACTTCTAATTGAAACGAGAAAATCGATTCTCGAAATTAACACATTTTCACTTGAATAAGTGTCATGTTGCGTGGTGATGTCTGCGGCTCTAATACTTTTGCTAGTTTTCATTAAAAGATGATGTCATTGGTTCAATGCAAACAGTCTACGCACATCGTGCACCTGATGTGCATGACAGCCATGGCTGGGTATTGCCCTTATCTCAGGGGTTGCACGCTCCTCATTTATTACCCCATCCTAACCACTGAGCCCACTTTGTTCCTGATGATGGCTATTTTATGACCGAAATGTTGAAATGTTTTCCTGAAATGAATTTGTGAAAAGCAGTGAGTGAGTGTGAGCCAGTGTTGCTCACACGCTCCCCATATTAGTGCTGATATGCAGTTGCTATGAACATATTGTATTTTACAGTTTGTGTGAGACTTGGCTAGAGGCCGAGTTTTCCGCATCCATGGGAATGCCACCACCCTTCAAGGATCGTGAGATAGCGTTAATTACATACATGTAGATAAATATGCGACTCACCAATCCCAGGTGAGCATCCGTGAGACTAACAGAGCTGTAGTAGGCCTGCCGCAGCTCCAGTGCCTTCCAATCCGGCATGTCCGTTTCACAGCTGGCACTGACGTTCAGCAACGGGTGGACGTCCGGATAACCGCGAATCTCACCGCTCATATACATGGCCACGTCAGGCACACCTTTGGGCCGTTGCTTGAACTTCGCCAGCTTGATCGTGCTGTTCGGGTAGAGATCAAAGTACTTGCGGGGTGCTTTGAACGCCAGGTGAGGCCGTTTGAATCCCACCGCCAGGAAGAACGGTTGACCCCCGGTCCCTGCTTCTTCTGCCTGCCTCTGCAGCTGGCCGTAGTAGTTGAGTCGGCGTACGGCTTCGTTGCTGATCAGGCCCTCAGGATAGCACACGTCCGGACAGTCCGTCACCGCCAGGGAGATCGGATGACCCCAAGTACCAGCCTTCTGGAAACACTGTATTGCGGTAGAAGATACAATGCACGGGTCAGCAGTGGTAAATATTTGTTGTACGAATATAAATCAAGTACAGAAAACGCAGATCCCTCTCTCTGGATGACATGTTGGGCATGGTGGCTGAGGCATTTTTGGGATGCCAATATTATACCAACCACTAATGCAAATGGGACGACATATCTGGAAAATCACTACATGTGTTAACCTGTGGCAAGCTGAGCGACGCCGGTTAAATGGGCCACTCATGCTGTTCTTGATGGCTTACCACATAAATACAACACGTGTACACGTTGCTTAAAAGGTGTTTTACGGCTGCTTACTCACTTCAATGCACTCTTCGCTCTGCACACAGCCAGTGCCGTTGGGGAAATGCTGCATGGCCGTACTCTGCACTGTGTCGTTGGTGAACTGGTCGCAGAAGAAGTACGGCTGCGACCATGAGTAGGGCATGTCGCCGCCACCCTCATCCTTGGTGGGACCGCCAGACGATGAACCAGGATGGAAAATCTTGCCAATACCTGCAGCAACCACAGTCAAAAAAATCGATACTAACCGCACAATACCATACCATACATGACAGTGCACCATGTGCATCTATATGATCATGCAACGTCTTTTGATAGTGCTGCACCACCACTGGATTATCCCTGTGTCACCTAACGTAGCTACATTTGTGCTGGTGTGCTGATACATGTACTTGAAGTATGTCCTTCACCCCAAGAGACTCTTTCACAGTGTAGCATATGATTTACGGTGCAAACTCAGCAAATAGTGAGCCTGATGGTACTCTGGCGGAAGAGCAGTTCCACATCAAGATAGGATAGCGCATTAGAGCCAAAGCAGTACCTACCGGTTCATCATGCTCCTCCATGTACATGATCGTACACAAACACATTCATGCAGTTATAGTTTAGTAGGCCTTGGCTGGTTGCAAGGACAGCTGATCTCCCAGTGGTAGATTTTGGAGACCAGTGGATGTAGATATGACCCAGGCAGTACAATGCCTGCATACAGAATTGGAGATTGTACGCATCCTTCAGATTCTGTCATGCCATATTTGGTATCAATACAGGATTGGCTAACTGCAGCAGAGTATGGTCAAATCCGGACCACCATGTCTGACTGCCCCTCACTGCAGCTACAGGGAATCAGTCACTCAGATGCTAAGGTGTGCCTATGGCGTATGTGAATGCGTTAGCCTCATTGCTGGAGGACTTGAAACTGGCATTAATTAAACTTGCTTGGGGAAAACAGCAGTATTCTATTACAAGTACCTGTAGTGTTATAACCGTGTTCCTTAAACCACTGCGGCATGGTCTTGATCTTCGGTCCATCCGGCATGGTGTTGCGAAAGTAAGGTCCAATGGTCCAGATGCGCGTTGTGTCCGGACGGCGACCGGTCAGGAGGCTGGTGCGAGATGGGCTACAGACGGCTAACTGGCAATACGCATTGTTGAATTGAGTACCACGCTCTGCAAGGACATATGCATGGACACACGGGTGTAGAGGTTTTTTAATTTTTAATTTGACTATTATTCACGAACGCAGTATTAGATAAACCTTGTATTGTAGAAACATGCTTTTAGTTTGACAGCATATTACAAGGTGGTGGAACACTGTGTTCGGAAACAGTGTGCCCCACTGCAACCATCCACGGTTGGTAGAGCCCCGGTCTTGCGACCATCTGAACCTTATGGGTACTAACGCCCCTAGAATAAAGAGGGTCAGAACCGGGTCTAACACCCATACGGTTCAGATGGTCGCAAGACCGGGCTCTACCGACCGTGGATGGTTGCAGTGGGGCACACTGGTTCCGAACACGGTGTTTTACCACCTTGTAATATGCTGTCAAACTACAACTTTACAAGCATGACTGTACAGTCAGTATGACCCATGCAAGAACTGACAGTCAGTGTTTGTACAGCTGGGGTACATGTACCTGCAAGTCTTGTAACGCTCGGAGTGTGCATGAAGTCGAATCCATAGCTAGCCAGCTCCGGGCGTAGATCATCCACGCCGAAGAAGAGCACATTTGGATGGACTGCGCTCGCACCATTGCTAGATTTCACGTCTTCGTCGGATTTTTCCTCATTTGCAGCACACACTGACACGACACTGCTGGCGCATATCAATGAAATCAAAACCAAGGAGAGAATGGAAGAACATCGTGTACTCATTCGTTCTTTTGATGGCATCTTGCTAGCTCGAACGGTCTGACCTTCCCCGACCAAGGCAATAGCTAGCCTATGTCTATGGGGTATGGTCTGCTGATAAAACTCTGCGGCTTCGATGAAAAGACGCAATGAATATTCCAAACGAAATACGAGACTCGTACATTCGACTCCCTGGTTCAAACTCTGGTCTGGAGTCTGGTGCAGTGGTGGGCTGAGTGATACACCAAGTCCATGACGGCATGAGGCATGATGACCATGTATGATGTACAGTCATGTATATAATATTATTTATAGCAATACTAATAACAGTAATCAGGCCAAACCAGGGAGTCGTGAAAGCCCGGGAGAGGACACGGCACACATTCCCAGAAAACATCTTTGCCTCGCGCTGCCGGGGAACGCTGCGCCAGGGAACGGTGTAGCGAGGCAAGGAAATAATTATTATTTTCGAAAATTGTGATGTCTTCTTGAAATACTGATTGGGACATTCTCCGATTTATCTTAGAGCACGGAGACGATTTCTCCGTCGAGTCTTCTAATCTCTATTTTCATCCTCAATTCTTCCAGCTGCCTCACTCATTCTCTCTCAGTTTATCGAAGTTAATTTATTCTGAGGCGATGGAAATGCAAGATAAATCCCTAATTGTACTTCACTTTTATTTGAGTTGGGGTGACCGAAATGAGATTTGTGGAAAATGACGCCACTTCCCGTGTTAGCCGCTGGTCGTATCATACAGCCCATATTCCATTGCAGGTGATGGGCGAACGTTCGTGTTGAGATCCGCTGAGCTTCCTCGTACTCGTGGAGTTGAATTTGTGGCAGAAATTGCACTGAATTGCAGTCAAATGGTTGTGAATGAAACGAGATTTGTGGAAAATGACGCCACTTCCCGTGTTAGCCGCTGGTCGTATCATACAGCCCATATTCCATTGCAGGTGATGGGAGAACGTTCGTGTTGAGATCCGCTGAGCTTCCTCGTACTCGTGGAGTTGAATTTGTGGCAGAAATTGCACTGAATTGCAGTCAAATGGCTGTGAATGAAACGAAATTTGTGGAAAGAGACGCCACTTCCCGTGTTAGCCGCTGGTCGTATCATACAGCCCATATTCCATTGCAGGTGATGGGCGAACGTTCGTGTTGAGATCCGCTGAGCTTCCTCGTACTCGTGGAGTTGAATTTGTGGCAGAAATTGCACTGAATTGCAGTCAAATGGTTGTGAATGAAACGAGATTTGTGGAAAATGACGCCACTTCCCATGTTAGCCGCTGGTCATATCATACAGCCCATATTCCATTGCAGGTGATGGGCGAAAGCTCTTGTGGAGATCCGCTGAGCTTCCTCGTACTCGTGGATTAATGAACTTGTGTCAGAAATTGCACTGAAATTGCAGTCGAGGGTGTGTGTTGTGAATGAATCGCAACAGCTCCCTTCCTTCAGCATCGTCAAAACGCAACATAGAGCATTATTACGCACTCGTTCCATGATTTATGATATTGCCTGGATTCTTTTAAAAACAATCAATGTGTGTTCCCTATCTATCTACAACACTTTTCTACTCGTATACTGAGTACGCGGTGACTTTAGCCGTTTAGGAAACGGAAGGCTCAGCCTCCAGGTTGGCCAGAAAGGTTCTCAGTGAATCTAACCGAAGTCTTGGCGAGTGTACAAAAGGTAAACCTATCATTTGTTTTTCATAACGGAATTGTGCACAAAAATGCGCACACACGCACGCACGCGCGCGCGCGCACACACACACACACACACACAAACACTGTGCAAACACACACAAAAGTACAAGCACATATGCACATACACACGCCCCCCCCCCCCCCCCACACACACACACACACTGTCAACTCCCCACTAGCACTCCCTGTACCATGTGTACTGAGTCTGACAAAATCATGTTTATGCTTCTTTCGCCACCAGTTTCGGATAATGGCGTCAACAACGAGTCGTAAAATATTGGTATTTTAGGACTCCCTGCCCTGAAAACGAGCACAGCGCCGTGGATTGAGCAGATCCGGCCTAGCGTGCTTCACTTTCTGGCCGAGGCAAACATCGTCCGCGTGCGCGCATCCCGTGTCCTCTCCCGGGCTTTTACGACTCCCTGGGCCAAACTAAAGAAGGTGTGTGGTTCGACTAACATGGACATTTTTTTTACGGGCGGGCGGGCGGATTTTTTTTTTAAATATATTTTTTAGTAGTTTTGTTTGGGTGCTGACAAGCCCATGTCCTTTCTTTTCTCTCTCCTTCTCCTTTCTCCTTTCCTATCTCATCCTACCATCTCTGTCTTACATTTCTGGGAAAATGACTAACAAATTGTTCCGACTGGCTTCGTGGAATGTCCGTAGCTGCTCCTCAATTTATCGACGGGAGCAACTCGCTCGCTCGCTCTCGGTTCGTGCTGTCGATGTTTGCGCAGTTCAGGAAACTAAAATTCTGGAACAACGCTGCTGGGACTTGCCACTGGGCTACCAACTCCTCACTATGTCGACAAGCAACAGGTTTGGCGGAGTTGGCGTGTCCGTGGGCCCTACTTTGCGGCCATTCTTGTCGTGCTGGAAAGGCGTGAGTGACAGAATTGGGTATGCCCTATTCTCGCTCCCTTCGTCAAATAAGTCGCCGCTTGCGTTTATTACGGCGTATGCTCCGACAATGCCAAAGTCATCGAGTAACCCTGAGCTCCGACACAACTTCTATGAGTCGCTAACCTCCCTCGTTCGAAGTTTTTCTCGCCGTACGGACGTTTTCGTCGGCGGTGACTTCAATGCAAAGGTTGGGCACCGAAGGGCAGCTGACAACTTCAATTGTTTGGGAAGCTGGTCCAAGGGCAGACGCAATGACAACGGTGAATCACTCCTGTTGTGCGCGGATGAATTGGACATGAAGCTGTCAAACACCATATTTCAACACCCAGCACGCCATATTGCGACGTGGACAGGAGCGTTCAAGCGCCAGGGTGATACAGTGCCTCAACCAATCTACAATCAAATCGACTTTATCCTTGTCCCCAATCGCCTTGTTGGCGGCCTCAGAAACGGTAGGTCATACGCAGGTTGTGAATTATCGTCAGATCATAGGATGGTGGTTACTACCATGGTCAATCTCCATCAGATCCGCAGAACCAGCTTCGTCCGACGCAAGAAGAACCCCAGGATCTTAGTTGACAAATTGCCAGGCAACAACGCACTGCAAGATGAATACAAACAGAAGCTAGAAACTGCGATCACAACATCAGCAGCGGATTCTTGGGACAATCTCGCCACCATCATTAAGACAACGGCAGAGGAAGTGCTCGGAGTGAGTGATGCCAACGCACACCATCCAAACTACATAACGGATGACCCACAAATCAGCACCCTCTCCAGTCAGCAGAAATCACTGCGCATCAAGATAGAGGCCTCGATCAATGTCAACGTGACGTCGCAGCTTAAAGCACAGCGCAACAAGGTCCTGTACGAGTTACGGTCAGAGATCAAGAAGAGATCAATATCCAAGCTGGAGTCAAGGGCTGCAGAAATAGAGACAATGAGAAATGATACAGCAAAGATGCATGCTGCAGTCAAGTCTCTAAGAAGGAAACCCACAGAGATCCACGTTCAGAACAGCGATGGCGCTCTGGTAAATCGTCCAGAGCAGAAAGCGGAACTTATATCAGGTCACTTTCAGACACAGTTTTCTCACTCCAGTGCGGAATCCCTTCCGAGCAAGGGTGATGTGGTCGTTACACAGGTTGCACAGTCGGAGGTCTGCAAAGCCATGAGCAGGCTGAAGAATAGGCGTTCTCCAGGCCCTGATGGTGTCCACAATGAGCTACTGAAGTATGGTGTGTCCCCAAGCCTATCATCTGCCGTCACCAAGATCCTCCAGAGTTCACTAGAGTCATCAACACCAGATCCTGCCATCGGATCGGGGCTGCTTATACCCTTGCAGAAGCCAGGAAAGCCAAGAGGACCCTGCACAAGTCTACGCCCCATAGTCCTACTCAATGGTGTGCGCAAAATTCTCTCGACCATCACTCTGGCAAGGATCTCCTCAGAGGTTGAGGACTACCTCCCTTCATCCCAGAGCGCGTACCGACGGGGCCGGGCCACAGCTGATGTGGTGTTCACTCTACGGATCCTCAGCAGCATTGCTGAGACGAAGCGATGGTCTCTATACAGGCTCGGCATAGATCTCTCGAAGGCCTTCGACACGCCACACCGCTCAGATCTCCTTAGCACGATTGTCAGCGTTGCTCCTACCACGCCGGATGTGCTACCCCTAGTCCACACTCTGCTGTCAGATACCACCCTTCAGGTACGTGTGCAGGGAAAAACAGCGCCCCCTTTTAGGTCGAACGTTGGCACACCACAGGGTGACAGTCTTAGTCCGATTCTGTTTACATGCTACTTTGAGAGTGCACTGCGAGGTATCAGATCTGACTCCCCTCCTGAGGACATCCTACCACCTGAACTGCAGTATGCGGATGATCTAGACTTCATTGGAACTGATGAGCAAGAGCTAGAGGACGTTCATGATCAATGTGCAGAGACCCTCCCAAGCCATAACCTCACCGTTAATACCTCCAAAACTGAACGAACAAAGATATACCTGGCTGATGATCTGGAGGAGCGTGGTTCCGAAGCATGGAGAAATGCGAAGTCGCTGGGATCACGGCTAGGCTCAGCGCAAGATGTCCAAGCCAGAAAGGCCCTAGCAACCCAGGCATTCTGTTCGTTGTACGCACTCTTCAAGCATCAATCTACCTCACTACTGCTTAGAGTTGCGCTGTACAATACCTATGTGAAGCCAGTGCTGTTGTACAACTGTGCGACATGGGGTCTCACAGATGCCACCACCAGAGGGATTGACACCTTTCATCGAAGGCATCTGAGAACAATGGCTGGCGTTAAGTTCCCGAACACAATTACCAACAAGCATCTGTACGACATCTGCGGCTCAGCACCAATTTCGCTCGAGATTGACCAACGGCGTTGGGAATTCCTTGGTTACGTACTGAGAATGCAGAAGAGCTCTCCCCCACAGCGCGTGTTAGAGTTTTCAGCCACCGCGAGCCTGCGCGGTCGACTGGGCCGACCCAGGACAACTCTCCTCTCAGCTCTTTCTCAGGACTGCCTAGCCCGACTCGGCATTCGCCTGGGCACGCTTAGAGGCCTTAATCAGCTGCGGCAGTTGGCAGGGGATAAGTCACGGTTGAATGGCACCCCGCGGCACTCATCTTCCTCTGCCGAGCCGCGTCCTTGACTTATCCCCTGCAGGGTGAACATCGTGCACGAACAGTCTACCGTCTTTCTGACATTGCCACTCGAACTTGACAATAGAAGCTGCTTTTCGTATGTGCAGTTACATTGATGGTGTTTTTGTCTTATGTTTGTGAATCCTTCCCGGAAGCAAATGCTGGTTTTTATGCATTCGTGTAATTACTCAGCGTTATTTGCAATAATAATAATAATACGAAGTAGTGGTTGCGACTTCGGCGATGATTTGTAAGAAATGGTTTGTTTGAATAGCGCGAGCTCCGGTGTGGGGAGCAAACCATTTCTTACAAATAATAATAATAATAATAATAATAATAATAATAAATACACTGTACTGCCTTTAGACACCCGTACCCAGTACATCGGCATTATTACGCAGTGTTATGCCATACATGTTGTATAAAGGGATCACTGGCTAATACTTTGAAACATTGTGTAGCTCTGGAACGTGAAGAGAATAACTTCAAGCGGTGACTCTGACTGTCCAAATCATCAAGCAAATGAAGAACGATGCGAGTTGAAAGTAAGTTCGGGAACTACTTCGAAGTACAAATTGTACAATGTACCGGTACATGTATTGCTAGTTTGGTGTCGGCGTGCACGAATACATGGGCTTTTTCCATCGACGCTTCCTGTGCTTGCACACATGGAGCAGCAACTTACCGGTACAGGTGAAATATCGTTCCCAATACACGTCGTATCGAGTAGACTCTACTACCAGCACAAGGCAGCGCTCAGTCGTACCACTCACTGCACTGCATGCACTGCAGTACAACTACAAGTCAAGTCCAAAAGGAGCCGCCTGCGTCCGCAGACTCACGCTGCACAGCACGTAGATCTACATGCTGTAGAGTGGACGTGTTCAGTCCACGTACGTCAGTACAGTCACACGACAGCCCGCCGAAAAAAAGTTACGGTCGGGCTGAAAAATGTACGGTCGGTCGGGTGAGTCGAACCACAGACCTTCTTCAGTGTGGCCTCATGGTAATAATTATCTACATTTGCATCGGTACCGGTACCGGTGCATACTGTCTGACTCCACTCTGCAGCGACCGCAAAGCACCGGCGCGGGCGCATTTTACATGGTGCGCAAAACGCATTTTTTGTGGACATCGGTCGCTATGGTAATTTTTGTCTGGACGCCGTGTAAACTTTTCCATGTACGACACGCACACGGCTGTCAAGAAGCGGCAACTTAGAAAGATGGCGTCGGTTCAAGATGGCATGGTAACCGCGCACGTGCCGTGGTCCGTGACTTGCTCATGTATGCACGCAAATGCAAGTCATAAACTCACAAAGATCGTCTTTGCATTTGGAGAAAATATCTTCGACTCTCTTTGGAGGTTGGCGAGGTTTGCCTAATCTTTACTTGATTGCGATGCCGGTATGTCCTCTCAATAATTAGAACAAAGAGAGCTGATGATCGCTTCATTGCTGAGCAGAAGTAACAATCAACTCTCCTCATGTCCTCAGTGCCAAAGGCAGACGACTGCAATTCCACAACGCTCATTTCACGATGATGGAAACAATAATCGTGTACTAGTACACACTTGGACCATTTGGTCATCCCTATTCTAGCCGCTAGTCCGTCCAGCAAGCAGATATTGACTATTACGATAAGGACAACTGCGTGAACGAGGGCTCGCCCAGCAATTACAATTCAAGTCGTGACTCCAGTCAAGAATTAGGGTCTTTACTCGAGAACTTCACAAATACAGGCCAAGGCACCCCACAAAACTGATAGATGGCACGAACGAAAGACAAATAGGCTAGACAAAGTGTCTCAAGTGATTGAAAACATCAGATCTACCAAATAAGACAGCTACAGGCGCCTAAACAACGATTCCCATACAGTAGAGAGTAGTATCAGGCAGAATGAAAGCCTTGGAAGTGCACAAATACAGCCACGACCGCCACAAAAATTGGACGACCGCCACAAAAAAATTCTCATTGCTCTACCTCCTTGAAGGGTGAAAGTTACCAGTTATCCTATAGCGATGTCAGTTTATGCCTGTTGGAACCCCCCACAGCCCGCACGAAATACCTTTCAAATAATTCCAGGATGCAATTGCAGCTCCAGACAGGAGGAAGAAGAACACCATGAAAAATAACGGCAACGATGCCCAAACTCTCGGGAAACGGCTGAAGTCTTCCTGAAGATGTTAACATTGAATAGCCATCGATTACCAGCGTGGTTTGGTGACTTTAGAACTGTTTTGAGACTTAGAACGAAGCGATATCTCAAATTTGATGGAATTGTTACCTGTCAAATGCGTGGGCGAGCAGGCCAGCTGACTGGTTATGCATGAACATGCATGAGCATGCATTGATTTTTCATGGTTCACGTGCAGAAAACTAAGTTGCCGCGATCCAAGTGCAGCTAACAGCCGTGCGCACACAACCTAGCCTCGCCCTAGCCTACATCATGTACATGCAAAGGCTGGGCTAGATCATGTTTACTCCATGTATCGACACGTTCCGAGCGCAGTACTATTACAGTCGGTCGACTCTATCACCATGATCACGCGCGCTGGGAAACCTGACAAGAAGATCCGCAAAGACAAAGTCAGCCCTCACCATCGTCTACACAGATTTCAAAAGCGTCGACCTCCATTTTGAAAACATGGTGGCTGGCCGCGCTACCCGTAGGCGCACGTGCCCACCGCGTGTCTCAGCGCGAGCTTCGAGCTCGCGAGCTAAAGATCATGTCGCCCACTCATTTTCCTGTGTTTCCCCATTTCTTCGAACTCGCTCAGCTTTTGCTTCGCTCGTGCTTCAGCTCCACGCTGTAGTCTGAGTTTAGTTCTCTTGTCTTCTTCCAGCAGAATACTGCAAACTCTACAGCACGTCGAGCTCCTCCTAGAAGAGTTTCTTTTGCGTCGAGGCAGACTGTCGATCGTTTCAGTCCTATCTTGCCGTCGTCTCATGAGCGCCCCGGAAAGCAACAGGATCTATTTTCTTGTCGTTCCATTTTCTGGCGAACTCATTCACCTACTACTTCTTCCTTTATGAAAGCTTCAGGTGGCTGAGTTCTCCCACTAGCGACAATCATGCCTTGGAAAAGAACAGGATATTCCTAAGGTATATACAGCCAGTGCAGTGATGTCAGTGTACTGCGCGTACTAGTAGTTGTTTGTTTTGTCGAGAAAGAATCCCTTTCGCACTCGCGCGGGCCGCGAGGGCGCAGCACGGAAACAGGTCTATTGAATTCATTTCTTGGTCGATTTCGACAACCAATACGTCGTTGTTTTTCTTTTTTCACTGGCTATCCTTTCTCCGCTTCCGAATTGCGATGCCGTCCACCTGGAAAGCCTTGAAGTGAAACGAGTGGAGGCCGGTTTCGGAGGTAATTTTCGGCCAAACGGCAATCAAATCGAAAAATTCGAAGCGGACGATCTGTTGGTATCTATCGAAAGAAGACGTTGGCCCATAAAAAATCTTTGGAAACTACACCGTATGAACCAAGGAATTACGGTAAGTTTGAGAATTTTGGTACATTAGCTGTACGCTGATTGGTCGATTTGCGCGACCGTTGAGAAACGGGCCAGTGACGCTTTGTACAGCGTTGGTGAGGGCTGAAAGTAGAACTACGATGAATGAATGAACCCGTTGGGAAAATACGAACAGGTGCTCGAGTTTTTCCACGTAGCAGCTAAACATTTGTTTCGGCAATGATTTGGCTTTTTGATCAGCTGATGAAGTTCACCAAAGAACACGCACTGACAGGTTTGCACTGCGTAACCCTGTGACTCTTCATTTCTACTTCCTCAACCAATAACTTCTTCTTCTCGGCCGAAAGCGAGTGAACAGTTTGAGGATGAATTGACGGGTAAGAGAGAGCGCTGAGTAGTGTGCGGATGGAGGGTGTGCCGGAGTTGGGGTTTGTACCATGGCATAGGCGACTTCATGCGCTGCATCGTTCAATCCTGTACTAGTGTGCACGTAGAAAGTTTTTTTTTAGTTGTTCAAGATAGTTACTACTGTATTTCAAGCTAAGCTCCTTGGTTCGTCACCTCTGAGTCGTTATGGCCGACTAGGGTCTCGTTCTGCAGTCGTCGCCAAAAATCCGGCCAATGCCATACTAGGTTTACATGGGCTCAGCTGCATGCACTATCACTAGGCACTAGTGCACGGCACGTTCAATGACTATGCCCTGCGCACGCTGGCGAGCCTGCATACTACTGCCGTGGACATGGAAATCCGGTCGCACGGTTTAGTGGCCCCAGGGCGCTGGCCATGCAGCCGTGGGTAAGCGGTACACACATGCACTTATGCGCTGCAGCTCGGTGGTCGCATCCGATCAACATGTGCACTGCACACAGCGTTCTGTACGTGCTGAGGGCGCCGGCCCCGGTCAATCGACTGGATTTCCATGTCCGCGACAGTAGTACACTCAGTGCATGCTCGACTGCACTGTGCAGACTGTTCAGAGCTGTGCTGCTGGTACAGACAGTAAATACATGCATACGTGTGCATGTATACTATGCACATGGCGATACCATGAAGCACCGCCAGTCAACGCGTACCATACCACTGTATCCATGGTTTCGGCATTGGCCGGATTTGTTTGGCGACGACTAGCAACTGCACAGGGCTGATGTCACATCATCTATGTTATTTTCTGTCGGAAATTTGCGATTCAGATTCCGCTCTTCCGATCTCCGTTTCTTTGTGGGCTGCACATCAATACCGGCGCAAAGATGCCAATCTCTGTGAAGGACTATGAGTGGAGTGAGACGCTAACGGAGGTGCAGATAACAGTGCCGCTGAAGGGAGTGGCCCCTGGCAAAGTCGACATTCTCTCGACGGACACGTACGTGAAGGTAAGGCCAAGGGTCGGAACAGTCGTATAAAGTATGCACGTGCTAAGCCAGCGGTGGTGTTCAAACTCAATTGAAATGCCATTGCACTGTACAATGTACAGTGCAATGGCATTGAAATCCAGTCGCTTCACTCAAGTACGTGCCGGGCACTGCGCAGCCCTAGACCTGCGAACACCGGGCCCAGCCCTAGACCTGCGAACACCGGGCCCAGCCCTGGACCTGCGAACACCGGGCCCAGCCCTGGACCTGCGAACACTGGGCTGCGAAATGGTGCAGGGCGCAAGCTTTACTCTCGCGACTGGATTTTATTGGGCACCACTGTAGTTACAGCTAGTGCAACCTATGTTTCCATATTTGTACCCTGCATCAAGCATGGCACATCCACATGGTGATGGGTGGAGGGGACAATCCCAGGTTGAAGGGGAACTTTTTAGCTTCAGACTTTATCCATCAATATTATTATTTATTGCGGTCCATTTCTCTTTCCGACCCAGGTCAGCTATCCACCGTTCCTGTTCGAGGTTATCTACTATGACGAAGTGAACGAGGCCGAGGGGCAGGCCAGAGTTGGCAATGGCGTGGTGCAGATGACGCTGAAGAAGAAGGAGAGCGGACTGTGGAGCCGGCTAGCAAAACCAACAGCCACCGATGCTGGCAGTGAATGTAAGTCTATCTGCATACGCGTACGCCGTAACCATGTTGAACTGATGAAAAGATAATGAATGCAACCGTCTATGAGGGGCTTTGGCATAATTTACAGAACAAAAAAATCCTATTCATGTCCGCTGTGCCAAGAAATCAGATCTGTTATTCCAGCACCCTCCCAATCCAGCAAAATTTCTGTAGCGTAAATGGTGCTGAATTATATAGGGACCACTACCTGCATATACTCGTATAAATATTCCACTGTAATCAACACACCCTACTACAACAAACTTGTGATGTTTGTTCCAATTCTCCAGCTGTTGAATCAGGCGAGAAGCCACTAACGAAAGAAGAAATTCAGAAGCTGCGAGAACAGGCTTTGGATGATGCAAGGGAGAGAGCACAGCTGGCCGACAAGCAGAAGAGAGAACGTAAGGATGAGGAGCGGCGTGAAGCGGTTAAGCGGCAGATTGATGTAAGTCTGTGTGTGTGTGTGTGTGTGTGTGTGTGTGTGTGTGTGTGTGTGTGTGTGTGTGTGTGCGTGTGCATGTGTGTGTGTGTGTGTGCGTATGTGATTATAGTCGCACACGTCTTTCTTCCCTTTCTCATTCTCCTAGCTCTTCATTCATTCTCCTGGGTGGTAACCAACAGCCAGTGCATGCCGGAGTATGTGGTGTTGTGGTGTGTGTGAAATAAATGAAAAAAAATGAAAAATAGGAATTCACTGGCCAGAAAAATCCACTTCAACCAGCTGTGTGGTGTAGACTAGGCTTAAATTAGTGGCGGTCAATTCATCAGCCTTGCTAGCTGTTGAAAGGTGTGACCCCAGCACAAGTTGCTATGTCTAACATAGTTTGTTCGCTATCATCGCTTCAGCGATGGGCAGGTGTATGAGTATGGGTATGAGTATGGCTGTGTGCGTGTGTATGCTAGCTAGTTTGGTTGGTGGGTACACTTATGCCGGATAGTGTTGGGTCTGTTGCCAACAGGCTCGGCTACTTGAAAGTGTATTGTTGTGCCCTCTACATTTGTTGGTTTCAGGGTTCATATACGGTTTATTTGAAGTACACATACCCGTTGACCATTGGACTACTTCTGGCTAGAGTAACTCTTGTGTAATCAATGGTGCTAGTAACTGCAGATGGATCCCAGGACAGGTGCCTAGATGCGTCAATCCCTTTGCTGCACCTCGTCCTCGCCCACTTACTGTTGTGTGGTGAGCCTAAAGTGGGATCTTTTCCAAGTGGCATGTGTGTGTGTGTTTGTGTCTGTGTGCGTTTGTGTGTGCACGTGTGTGTGCATCAGTGTGTGTGTGTGTGTGTATGTGTGTGTGTGTTTGTGTGCATGTGTGGTGCATACGAGTATGTGTGTGTGTTTGTGTGTGTATGCATGTGTGTGGTTACATGTCTGTGAATATGATTGTGTGTGTGCATGCACCCTGCATGGGTACAGGCCGACGATGTAAAGAAGGAAGAGAAGGCTGCCGCTCGCAAGGCGGTGATAGACGAAGCAATGACGGAGCTTGATGAGTGGAGAGAACAGCAGGCCAGGGAGAACGCGGAAACGGGAAAGAATGGCCGACACGGTTCAGCACGGCCAGCTACAAGTACTGCATCATCGGTAACAGGTAATCTCTGTCAATGTCATGGAGCATCTCTCATTGCCTCATTGTCAGTACTGACTACATGCTTTACTGAACAGGTGTAGTACCAACTAAGCATGCTGTTCTGCTGGACCTGGCTCAATGTTGTAACAACCACACATGCCCCATTGGGCTATAAAGTTATATTATAAGATTGAAAGTTTGAAGTGAGAAATCCCCCCCCCCCCCCCCTTTGAAGCTTCCCTTAGCAAAATGGGGAATTGTGTTGTTGGGAAGGGATTACCATGGGATGCACGAGGAATATGGTACCTGACTTCTAAATGATGAACTCACTCTCCTTCTGTGTTACTCTACTCCAATACTATGGCTGATGCAGCAAAGTCGGGAAAGAAGTCACAGAAACGGGGCGATGAACCCACCAATGGTGGTAAGCATGGCGCACTGCCGCCTGTACGACAGAGCGGGAGAATCACCGTCTCCTTCACGCCCAGGTCATTTACGACGCCGATGAGAGAGAGCAAGGTGGACGAAGAAGAGGCAGTAAGTTTCCTTCGCGAGTTCCCCAGCGCTGAATTTCACCGACTGTGGGCCGAGGTCAGCTAAAACATGTCCTTGGGGTTTTGTTAATTTGTCGAGACATGACAGAATGAAGACTTGTTTCTGTCGAGTGTGTTAACGCTGTGCGACATTCACCAATCGGTGGCAATAGCATTTTGTCGAACTTCATTCTCACACTTGTTTGGCAGCCTAGTTCAAGCAGCTGATGAGCAAAGTGTCAATTTCAAGTCCTGATGTTTTCAATACAAAAGTAGCTAAGGAGGGATTTGCACCCCCGCCCCCAACACACACACACACACACCTGTCCTGTAGAGCCACTGCCACAGGGGTCATGTGGGCCCCGGAGGGGCGTCAGAGAGGAAGATGGAGTACGCAGCCTGATGACGCCGGAGATGGTGGGGCAAACGGAACCGGCGAGAACGCACGCATACATGGCTGAACAAATTACGCTGCTGGGCAGTCGGGCGCGGGCCAGTCCTCGAGCACCGGTGACGACCGCGGCCCTGCACAGACCGAAAGCTGCGAGCACACACAGCACCGCAGGCATCCTGCACATAGACTTGCCGGGGCTCGGGAGACTGAGGCTGAGGTGCGAAACAGCGGTGAACAGCTAGACCACCCTTGCTTCGAAACCAACGCCCACAATCTCCACAGTGGCAAGCCCCTCGCTGCTCAGCAATCGGCTTTGCCCGCTCAACCACACATTTGTGGCGAGCACGATCTCCAGGGCGCGAGAATGACCGATTGCAATCCGCACATACCACTGGGTCAAGCTGAGGGACATTCTCCACAGACTCGGCGTACATAGTCCGCCAGTCAGCGCGGGACTCACAGGCGATAGGGTACCATTCCTTGGCGAGGCCACGAACTCTTAGGTCGGAGACAACACAATCCTTCCAGCGCTTGCGAGGGCCATGTGCTGGGCGGCGTGTGGGAAGTGAGCCAAACAGGATCTGTCTCGGCATCCGGCTACATATGGCACACACACACACACACATCACCACGACTCACCCTTTTTCCAGGTAAAACAAAAATTTCAACAAAAAACGTTTCAATCGTCGCAGTGAACAGGATTCGAACCTGTGCGGGCAAAGCCCAATTGATTTCTAGTCAATCGCCTTAACCACTCGGCCACCACTGCTGCTGAAGAACTCACCATAGCAGAGTGGTCTTGGCTATTTGCGGTGCTGAGCGGTACATGCACTTGCACTTTTGTCAACAGATTCGAACATACAAGTACGGAGCAGTTAGCTGTCGGAGATTAAGATTTTAACATGGTGCAGGACTGATACACACAAATTGTAAAGCTTGTCGAGAATGCGGTATGGATATGCAAAAAGTGCTCCTAGATGTGCCAGAAAAGTGTTGATCACATTTCCCACGTATGCAATGGCCGAAATGACAGTACCTGACCACATCGCAATGCTACTGAATGAAGTACCATCCACGATTGAGGCCTGCACTGGTGCACAGTCCAGCGTTCGCATGTTTTGGGTTGCACAGCAGCCGGCGTGGCACTGACTAGATCGATCGGACTTCAGCGTGCTGTACCGTGTATATTGTTATGTATTTGTGCCATTGCTGGCCACTTTGTCAACATTATTGCATGCTGTGTGTGAATTCCGGTCCTTTTAGTGGCTGAAAAAGCAACGGGATGCGGCCAAGTCTCAGCAAGATTTCGACGATGAGAACAAAGATCTGGAGGAAAGAGACCCTCTCTGGCTGAAAGACAAGGGGAAGTGAGTAGTAATGGGAAGTGAGGCTATGTACTGTCTTGGTTTGCAGCAGGTTGGCTGTGGATTAATTAACAGCAGTTTTGATATTCGACTTTTTATTTTCGATTGTTTTGCTGCATATTTGGTTGTTTGTTGTGGGTGAGAACTGTACACTCAGACCTCGCTTATCCGGTCCTCTTACATATATATCCGGACCCCTCGCCATCCGGAAGAAAATAGCTGGTTACAGATTTCCAACACACATGATGCATCCAACATAACCGGTGTTTGGTTACCGGGTTCCCTCGCCTATCCGGATTTTTTGTGGAAAACGGATATGCGCGGTTAAGTGAGATCTGACTATACTTTGATGTAGTGCACTAAATAATAGTGATATCATTGCCTATAGTTTACACTGAGCGTCAAAGTAGCGCTCGCTCAATACAAGCACATCAACGTTTAATGATGAGGTCATCCGTGTTGTTGCTGATGGTGACGGGGACAGTGGTCGTGATGGTTCTGCTGCATCTGCTGCTGCTGCTGCTGTTCTTGTTGTTACTGTAATCATTGTTGTCGTCTTTGCCGTTGCCATTTTCTTTGTCGCTGTCATTGCCATTATCTTCACCATGGTTACCGCCATTGTTGTTATCCTCGTCATCGCAGTGCATTCTACAAGCAGGGTAACTACCAGTCGGCTGTCAATGTCTACACGTTTGCAATTCGAAAAGGTGGAAAGATGCCTGCGTATCCTCAGAATAATGGCATTTATACTTTTAACTCCAGTTTTGACCATAACATGTCATTATTATTTTTATGCAGGGTGAGGAAGGGATTAGTATTGGCTGAAATGGAATATGAATGGGCTTTTAGGTTTCAACTACAGGTGTTGCTCAATGAAATCCAATCCATTGAGGCAAGTACGCAGCAGGCGCCATGGATCCCTAGACCTACATGTATAAACACTGGGCTGTGAGCTGGTGCGGTGCAGAAACCACACTCACACAATCAGATTTCATTGAGCAGCACTGTACCAGTGTCATATGCCCATGCCGCTGCGATGTGCACTGTCAGTGAACCCATACAGAAGATTGAAAAGCATTGCATGTGTTCTATCCATACGAAATAATAGTGGAGGGATCAAACAACTTCCTTGGTTTCTATATCCATTGGACAGTTCATCCCATGGAGTATTGCTGGTGTACTTGCGACTGATCTAATCCATGTGAATACCACAGCTTGATAGTCATTAAGAACTCAGATGGTGAGCCAAGTAAAAAAAGTGTGCTAGATTGTGCACGTCTGACTGTTCAACTCTGGTTTAGTTGGTAGACTCGACCGCATAACTTATGCCCACATTTTTCCATGTTAGAATTTGATAGTCGTTCCTTGACATTCTAAACGCATCAGGTTATACTCGAATCGTGCAGCCTGTCACATGCATCTACAGGATTACGAACGGTGCATCAAGGACTGCTTTTCGGTGAGTAGTAGGCTGTTTCTGATAGCTTGAGTTTGCCTGTTGCTCAGTTTGCCAGGTGTTGTTTACTACAGGGGTAGTGGTGATGCTAGCTGTGGTGGTTGTGGCAGTGGGGGTGGTGGTGGTGTGTGTGTGTGTGTGTGTGTGTGCACGTGTGTGTGTGTGTGTGTGTGTGTTCCTGCGTGCATGCGTGTGTGTGTGTGTTCCTGCGTGCGTCCGTGTATGTGTGTGTATGTATATACCAGTGAGTTCGGTTGGTGGATACACCTATGTCAGGTAATGGTGGGTCTGTTGCCGACGGGCTCGGCTGCTTGAAGATGAAACTTTGTACCTGCCACCTTTGTTGGTTTCAGGGTTCATTCTAATTTTGAAGAAGTCACTTCAAAATAACATGCAGCTTAACCTCTCTATTATTGCAATTTACCAATCTCTCTCTCTCTCTCTCTCTCTCTCTCTCTCTCTCTCTCCCAGGCTATGGATCTGCTAGAACCACCTGTGGAAGACAACCGCATGGCAAGAGTCAAAGTGCTTGCTCGGCGAGGTGCAGCCCTAGCAAAGTTGGACCTGCTTGCTGAAGGTAAAAGTTACCGCCATTCCAACAGCCTTGGTCACCTTCGCTTGTAACATCCTATCTGCTGCAACACGTCCTTGTTTTCGTGCATTGCCTTTGAGTGTTTCGAGTGCTCACAACTGCTTGAGTGAATATGACGGGATAGGAATGACCTGAAAAGGCTGATTGATTTGTAAAAAAATAAAATACATAATGCATACGAGTTGTGAGTTACTATCCACCACTGTAGCACTGTAGCTAGATAATGTAATCAGAATACTAGCTACATGTAGTTACAGTGCTGGACAATGGATCATAACTCGTATCGAAGTGCCCGTTTACATTCCATTTTTGGCTCAGTATCCGAGTTAAACTTTTTGCCAACCTTGTTGATGTACGCGTGTGTGTGTGCATGCGTGTGTGTGTCTGAATGTTTATATGCATGTGTGTTTGTGTGAATGTCTGTATTTATGTCTCGTGCATGCACGTGTGTAAATGTCTGTGTGTATTTATGTCTCGTGCATGCACGTGTGTAAATGTCTGTGTGTATTTATGTCTCGTGCATGCACGTGTGTACAATGTATGTGCCTGCATACAGCATTAAAGGACTACCAGGAAGCTCTGAAACTAGATCCGTCGAATGCCGCACTAAGTGCAGATGAGCAGAGGCTGAGATCAACTATTCAAGGATCGACGGCTTGACTGGCATTACTTTCATGTCATTCTCTACTGCAGGAATGCCATGTTGTGGAGAAACTTGACTCTTGAGGGAAGATGAACAATTCCATCAATGCATAGGCCAAACAAAGTTACTTGTCTGTTTGAGCCTCACTGGTCTTAATTGGCTGGTCCGGTGTTCAATTTAACAATGTAATTGCCAGGTATCTTTAAACAGGTGACGAGGCGACAACAGTTTGATAATCGCGATGAAAAGGACCAGCTGAATCGACATGTATACTGGTTTTATTGTACTTCGAAGAAAACACGGATCATGCCAGTGTCAGATCCAGCGATCTTTACAGGGGGTTCCAGTATAGTCAAAAACTGAATAGCTGATACATGTACATGGACACGCATATGGTTGCCAGTACGAAATTTATGGGGTTCCGTGGAACCCCATCCTGGATCCGCCCCTGTATGCCAGGTATATCTTTAAGTTTTAGTATACTGAACTGTGGTGCTATGACTTTGGGGCAGCTATTTTAGGAGAAAGTGGCTGCTCCTGAAACTGGAGGTCATGCTTTCTGCCTGTGGATTGACACTTGACTGACTCACGACTGTTTTCTGGAGGACAGCAGTGTCATGTCTAACCTTGCACTTGGCAAACCTGCAGCAAAGCACCACTGACCTTCTGTTCAATACAGGTGTTTCCGTGAATCAATCGCTCCTCAACAGTAGGCTAATGAAACGTCTGCTCCCGGCAGAGCATTTGAGGGAGTAGGGATACTCGCTTCCCCTAGCCCGTCAATAAGCGAACAGCTGTTGGGGAATCACTAAAAAAACTAAAATTATAAAATTATACAAAATACAATTACATGTACACCATAGCTCAGTGGTTAGAGCATCGCTGGCTACAAGCGAGGGTTCCTGGTTCAAGTCCTGGTGGTGACAGTCAATTGTTTCTTAAGATGACGCCGCAGATAGCAGTTCAACTAAATACAACGCCACATGATCAGCCGATGCTGGAAGATAATTAAGACTTTTCCCGTTTGTGTCTTTCCCTCAAAACCAGTGAAAATACAATGACTTAGTAGTAACCGTTACAATGACCGTCCGTTATGAATCATGACTAGCTCTATTTCTCAGTGCTTTTACTACAGTGTGAGTAACTTTGTATGACGGACGTCGTATACATGATTGTAAGTTCTGACTTTAATGAAGTCCGCATATATTTATTATGTGTAAAGGTCATATGGCCTGGGGGAAGAGGAAGGCGGGATGGGTTGGTTTGAAATAATTGACTTCTCTGTAAAATGCCTCTGTCTACTTCTAGAAGACTCCGCGAATAACCACTTCCATTGTGGAGTAAGTTGAACAATAATACTTCGAAGTATGATAATTATTGCTTTGCACAGATGCGGACTTGCTTATCACAACGGACTGTTACCATGGCTACTCCCACCAAACTAAGCATGGTTTGAATTCAAAATTATGTTTGCTCACCGTATTATCTCTAATATCCCGTATTTCCTCAATTAATAGGGCTTGAAAGTGATGACGTCAAAAACGGCCTGGGAGTAGTAAATTGACATCAGATTTCTATTTTGGATCCACTAAGGTGTGACTTTGCTATTGCCTCTGTATGTGGGTGCATAGCAACCCACTCATGTCGTATGCAGGTGCAACTTTTACTTCGCCACCAGTTGTCACCCCGCCCCCACTAGCCAAATCAGTCAATTTCACTTGCAACATCACCTTGCTGTGAGTGAGACCGCTTGAAATGTGCTTGGATCCATACAAAAACTGGATCCAGGTGGATCCAGTTTTCGAATTTTTCAAATTGTTGCTATGCCATTGCTATGGAGTGACGTAGCACTTTCAAGCCCTATAGACCCGGTCTTTGGTTTTTTGAAGAGGGTTGGACCCCGGTCTCTTATTTGGGCATGGTCCATTATTTGAGCACGGTCCACTATATTTTCATCGGCACAATCCACCAAAATCCACCATTTCCAGCGATGTGCCGATGAAAATATAGTGGACCGTGCTCAAACAATGAAAGAAAGCACTAGCCACTACAAAAAATTGTAGTTGCGCAACCTAAAATCGCGTCCTTTTTTGATCCACCACGTGCTTTCTTAGTGTGCATGCGCAAAGCGATGAACTCAAATAAGAGACCGGGTCTCTTAGTCGGGCATGGTCTACCATTTTTCCGTGAGGCCTCTAGGAGGGTCTACTATTTGAGCATGGTCCATTATTTAATCGAGGAAATACGGTAAGCACAGTCTCCAATAATAGAACACCTTGGGGCGGTGCTCAGTCTCCATTATTTATGAGCACATGTCTATCGGTACATGGTAAAATGCATGTACAGTATTATCTCTTAAATGCAGTACCGGCGAAAAAACCCTGAAATGTGTGTGTCTGACATGAATTTGGCATGGCAACATGCCTCTGAAATGAGGTTGCAATAATAATGGAACAGTCTCCAATAAAGGAACGTCTAGCACGGGGCGGAGGTACATTGAAAAAATAAAGGACCGTGCTTATATCGGAGATAATATTGTTGTGCATCAGAAACGTTGACCCGTAGTCTAGGTTCTTCTTTGTGTTCGCTATTTCTATGTTACATTGGCAGTTCTAAGCCTTTGTGACTTCGTGCCACTTGCCTGCGTTGTTTTTTAGCACGCATTGACCCCAGAAATGATAATTGTTCATGTGCTGATACAATCATGACCTTGAAGTACTCGATGGGATTTTGAAAAGTGAGGCACGCGTTTTTCGGGCTCTCCTTTTTTCCCCTTTTTTGCAGCCCAGCCGGCATCAGGCCGGACTGGAAGTAGACTAGATCAGTGATTAGAAGTAGAGTAGTGTCGGAAACTTGCCATGCCCGGAGCTACCACGAGAACTAACTCTCGTGTATCAGCCTTGACTGAATCTGAGACGAAAATGTTGGGCTCCCTGCCTAGTATCGAGTCGGATGTATCGGCAGTGCTAAAAAGTCTGGCCGCACTTGTCTCCGAGGCCGCCGATCGCGAGGATCGCCTGAACAATAGGTTCGATGAGCTATCCAGACAAGTATCTGAGCTGAAGGAGGAGGTAGCTTCTCTCAAAGAATCCGCCATTGCCGCGGCGAAAGCTCCTCAGCCATGCCAGCCAGGACGTACTACGAACCCTGACCGTACCCGTACTGACCCCCGCACAGCCTGCAGGCAGTGTAGCATGAGTGCGAGTACGAGCAGTTCTACCAGCTACAGCAGCGCGCTGAACCAAGGTCCAGCATCCGATGCGCCCCGTACTGAATTTGAAAATGATGCTCGCCCAGCAGCCAGCCCTGGCCACAATGTGGACAGCGTGAGCGAGAGTGACGCGGATGACGGTTTTCAGCAGCCACGGAGACGAAAGCGCAACAAGAGCACAAAGGTGTTGCAGCCCATCTCCGACGATGCATGGAAACGAATTGCAGATGAGCCCCACAGAGCGAAGAGAGCTGTCGTGTATGTTGGTAACCTCAGCAGGGAGACAACTGAAGACCGGTTACGCGAATTTGTTGATTTGCGTAGCAAGGCCGTCAACTCCGACACACCAGTAGTGCTCCACACATGTAGCATGCATGTCAATGCTAGCGGCTGCATGTCTGCAAGAGCGTTTGTGGATGCCAGCTCCCTGCATATCCTGCTGGCTGCCAACTTCTGGCCAAGGCCACTTTATTGCAGGAGGTGGACCTTCCACACATCCGACACTCACAAGACAGTACCAGGGTCAGCTCAGCCTGGCTGCCCACCAACTGACACGCCAGAGACATCCCCATCCCTGCCCAATCCACTGCAAAGCGCAGGTAGCAACAAAAGCAGCGGCGCAGATACTGCAAGCAACAACAAAAGCAGCAGCGCAGATACTGCAAGCAACAACAAAAGCAGCAGCGCAGATACTGCAAGCAAGCAACAATGAAAATCCTCCTTACAAATGCTGGTGGAATCATGTCCAAATTTGGAGAGTTTCAACACGCGCTTGTATCCTCCAAAGCTGATATCGCTGTTGTTACTGAAACCAAGATCACCGCAGAGAAATTCTGCCTTCACGAGTCAGCCATCCCAGGGTACTCCGGCCCTCTCCGGCGTGACAGGACTAAACATGGTGGTGGCATAGCAATCTGGATACGCAGCCCATTGGCGTACCATCATCTAGATCAGTACGACTCATCTGTTCACGAAGTAACTTGGCTCACAGTGCAGTCTGCCCATCATGGTAAGATAGTGCTGGGTGCTGTATACAGGCCAGGATCCGCCTCAGACACTGATATCTCAACACTTGAGCACCTCGATGGCATCCTGGATAGCGTCAGAAAACACGGCACCCACACCATGCTGGTCGGAGACTTCAATGTCCACAACACGGCTTGGCTCGGCAGCTCTAAGACCACCCGTGCAGGGGAGTACATGGAGGAACTAAGCGCTGCCCACAGCCTCATGCAGCATGTCCAAGAACCAACCCGAGGTCTCAACACCCTGGACTTAGTGCTCTCTGACTTCACTGGTACTGTGGCCACCGGTATCTCGCCGCCGATAGGAAGGTCAGACCATTGTGTTGTCCACGCTGTGCTCGCTCAAGCCCCGCTAGGAAATGAGCCAAGCACACGGAGGCGTGTGTGGCGATATGGCCAAGCCGACTGGAACAGACTGCGTGCCCACTACCGTCGCATTGCCTGGGCAGCTGAGTTTCCAGAGGACCCAGAGGAAGCATGCAGCCTTGTTACTAGGCACATCGTGTCTGGGATGCTGCAGTTTATTCCCCACAAGATGCTGGAAACAAGGCCGTCCGATCCGAGCTGGTGGACACCAGAATGCACTGAGGCTCAACGTGCCAAAGAGAAAGCGTGGAAGGCCTGGCGTCACCAGGGGCCCAGCGAATGCCTGAAGCAATCGTTCATGACAACTGTCACTCAATCTATTACAACCCAACATCGTGCACAACAAGCTGAAGAGCAGACAGTCCGAGAGCGTCTCACACGTGGTTCCATGAGAGACAAGGACTGGTGGAGGAATGTCAAGCGCGCCGCCGGTCTGGGTAGGACTACAGACGAGCCAACACTCACTGATGCTGACGGGCACGAGCACAGTACATCGAAAGCCAAGAGCGAGTGCCTTGCTAGATTCTTTGCTGATAAATGTAGCCTTGGGGATAATGACATCGACAATGCTGAGTTACCAGCAACACCCCGCACTACCACTCCGGGCCTGCAGCGCATCCGCTTCCGCGTCTCTGAAGTCCAACAGTGCCTGAAGCGTCTCAACACATCCAAATCCACTGGTCCAGATGAGATCCCAGGACGAGTACTCAAGGAGTGTGCAGCTGAACTAGCACATCCGCTGGCTAGATTGTTTCGCCTGTGTTTTGCAAATGGAGTCCAGCCCCAATCATGGAAAATTGCCCGTGTCGTTCCAGTGCACAAGAAAGGACCCAAATCCATGATGAAGAACTACCGGCCTATATCTCTCCTGACGATCATCTCTAAGATCATGGAAGGTATCATCAATCGGCAGCTTGTGAACCACCTGGAAACCCATCAACTCTTCTCCTCGTCCCAGTTTGGCTTCCGACGTGGACTGGGCACAAGTGACCTACTGACGGCTCTCCAGCATTCCTGGGCCACTACCCTGGCTGGCGGCGGTCTTGTGCATGCCCTGGCAGTTGATATTGCCGGGGCATTCGACAAGGTTTCCCACCCAGGTGTCCTTGCGAAGGCACAGCAATGTGGCATCCACGGCCAACTCCTGGCTTGGCTAAGGTCGTATCTCCATGACCGAAAACTGACTGTAGTTGTTGGCGGTCAGTCCTCCCCACTGTTCCCGATCAAGGCTGGAGTGCCCCAGGGTAGCCTCCTAGGTCCCACTCTTTTCCTGTTATATGTAAACGATGCAGAACAGTGTTTAGCCCCAGGCTCCAGTCTAGCTGTCTATGCGGACGATACAACACTCTATGCCCTAATCAGAAACCCAGATACCATCGCTGCTGCTTGCAATAGCCTCCAAGCATCTATTGACCGCCTTCAGACTTGGGGTGCCCAATGGAAGATAAAGTTCGAGCCATCAAAATCTCAGGCAATACTTCTTGACCGCCACAGACCATCCCTGGATGTCCCACAGCTCACATTTGATGGCATGCAGGTGCCTGAGAGCCCTCAGCTCAAGCTGCTAGGAGTGTTATTTGACAGTACTCTCTCCTTCCGGGCCCACATCTGTTCCCTTGCCGTTAGAGCCAACCAGCGACTCGGCCTGCTCCGAAAGGCATCTCGGATCCTGGACAGTGCAGGGCGCCTAACTGTGTACAAAGGATTTGTACGGCCTATAATGGAGTACGCCCCTCTCGTCTGGGCGAGTGCGGCACATTGTCACCTCCATCAGCTGGACCTGGTCCAGCGTCGAGCCATGAAGGTTATTGGCCCCTCATTGCTCCCCAGCCTGGCAATCCGAAGGCATGTTTACGGGCTGTGCTACCTGTATAAGCTGCAATGCATACCAGGTCCAGCTCTGCTTACCAACATGGTACCTCCCCCAGCAAGAGTTAACGCTGCACCCCGGACGCGCCGGCAACGCCAGTCCCTCGGTGGCCACTCTTTCCAACTCGCAACTCCTCTGCCAGCCTCCAGTCCAGAGTTCATCCGCCGCTCCTTCCCATACTTTGTCCTGGAGAGCTGGAACACACTGCCTGCCCCAATCCTCGCCGAACGCCCAACTCTCAAGAAATTGCCGACATTCAAGACCAAGGCCTACCACCACCTCCGCCAGACCAATTGGCTATGGGCCACTGAAGTCCACCAGCACTGAGAATAACCGGTTGTCTCTATTATTATCATTTTCTGTCTCTCTCTCTCTCTCTCTCTCTCTCTCTCTCTCTCTCTCTCTCTCTCTCTCTCTCTCTCTCTCTCTCTCACTCTTCCTCTCCTGGGAAGCTCCTCATGCTCATTCTCCCTTTCTCTGTCCATTTCCCCTTCCTGATGCGTAGACCAACTGTTGAACCCGAGACCACTAGGTCGGGGGAGGTTGACCTACCTCATCGGCACGCATGCCACGCTCCTCTGTGTTGTCAAAGTTCGCTTGTCCACTTTTGTCTACCTCCCCTTTTATGTTGCTGGCCAGTGCTTTGTAGTAAAAAAAAAAAAAAACATGTACACGGTGTGGTGCTTAGGACAACCTGAAATATTAATTACGCAAAACGCAGTTTCAAGTCACTGCAGCCCCATACCGGAAAGTACAACACAAAGGTCACAAGGCATAATAGTCGCCTCCGGCACCGACACGAGTGCCGCTCCTGGTGTCTATACGTGTATAGAACACAGAAAAGGGTATTTCTGTAAGCTAGCATTTTCTTCGCCTCCAAAGAGGTTCGAGTTACCTGTATAATTATTATAGCTGTTCACTGCTTTTGCCAGTTTTGGTATGACAATGATACTGGTACAGGATGGATATAATTATCATCGGGTACCGTGGATACAGCTTTGAAAGCAAATTGAAAAGGATGAGTAAATATACGAGTGCAGTAACAACTAACAAGGGCCGAAGCTAATAATTGTTTTGATGTTTGCTGTAAAGCTGTCGTCGGCATGTTCCCTATGAGGCATAAAACATCATGTTGCTGCATGGAAATTGCATGCTTTTACAGCATTCTTTAATACAGTGTACAAAGTCATGTACATCAGTGCATTGGTGTGTGGACATCTTGATTAGGGTACATTGTATGCCGTTCATGTAACAGCCAGTTTCTTTTTCAGCAGCGGTGACCTCCCTGCTTCTTGGCTACTTGACTCTAGCCGTGACAACGCTCCAGCACGCGGCGTTGTGGCCAGTCTAGTAGAAGCAGCAATTCAGATGTATTGTTCTAATATTGACCATTACTCCAAAGAGCTTCTGCATCTGCTGAGCTGGTGGTGAGCAATTGCCAGGGCCAGGACAACTCTACTGCGTGTATTTGCCCTGGTGCTAAATTAATCACGGCGGCGCGATGTCACCCTGCCCCGGGAAGAATGGGCCGAAGAAGTCCAGGAACCCCGCGGTGGTTGCTGCCTCTGTTGTGGGTAATTCTGTGCTGGTTATTCGTATTGTTGTAGTTGTGATTACTTCGGTTGTTTCTTGCGGAGTGGTTACTACGGTCGTGGAAGTGGTGGCAGCTCTTGATGTTGGAATGTATTCCGTAAGTTCAGTTGGCTCGGCGAGGATGAGTTCAGGCTCGGTGGGCGGTTGTGTCGTGGGCTCTGTTGTCGGTACTGGCGCCTGGGTTGTCGCTTGTGTTGTGGGCGCCTGGGTTGTGGCTTGTGTCGTGGGCGGCTGGGTTGTCGCTTGTGTCGTGGGCGCCTGGGTTGTCGCTTGTGTCGTGGGCGGCTGAGTTGTGGGTCGTGTCGTGGGCGCTTGCGTTGTGGGTGTCTGGGTTGTCGCTTGTGTCGTGGGCGGCTGAGTTGTGGGTGCCTGGGTTGTCGCTTGTGTCGTCGGAGGCGGAGTGGTTTGTTGCGTTGTTGGAGGCGGTGTTGCAGGAGGCTGAGTTGTTGGCGGCGGAGGCGGTGGAGGTGGCGGAATCCTTACTGTTGCGATCTCTGCAGTTTGCACATTTGCCACGTGCGCCAGCAGGATTTCGGGCTCGGGCGATGTGCGCAGTTCTACTGGAGCTGTTGACACAATGTCCACAAATACAGGCTGGGGACCTCTGGCTGGGACAAATGGAGGGTCGCTCGGATCATCACTGTCGTCTTCAGAGCTGTCTTCCTCGGAGGTTTCCCCGTCCCGCGAATCGTAATCCTCTACATCGTCTTGGGTCATGTCCACCGCCACATCAGAATCAGTACTCCACGGTTCGCCAGGTGACTCTCCGGCACTTTCACCAAAGTCATTATCGGTATCTTGGACAACGTCTACCGACACTACATCCTCGAAATCCTCACGCTGACTAAATGGACCACCGTCCCACACATACCCCGCTGGTAGAGGTATGCAGTTAACTGAAATATGCAAAGAGGTGAACAGCAAGACAAGAAAGGTGCAGGAGCGTACAGCAACCATTCCTAAATCACCTCGGAAGCGCCAACTCCGTGCCTTACTAATCGGACCGTTAACTCTTCTCCAAGAAAACTTCGATCGAAATCACGACTCGTAATGAAGCAGCTAACTATTGTGCACCAATACCTTTAAGGCCTGGGGTCGCGGTGGATGCGAATGATCGTGGACTGCCCCACATCTAGACAGTGGCAGGGCAAGCACACCCAAGTAACGAGACACAAGTAGCTAGTTGTTTTGAGTACCTAGCGCAGAACGTATCCGTCACCCGTGGACGAAATCTACGTCTTACTGACTACTCCCCAGAGTCTAAACACCTTCCCTGCGTGTAAGTATTTTGCTTCTTACAATAAAAGACAACCTGTAGGGCAGTGAGGGTGATATGCTCACACATCCACTGCTGTACTAGTCCATCTCATATCGGCATGACCAGTAGCAACATGTTGAAAACATAGTGCCTTCAACATAGTTCAACATTCTGATACTGCTCGCACGACCTCTATGAACAAGCTCAAGGCCCTATCGTCGAACGTGAGCACGGATATGGTCTGAGATCACAAAAGGCCATCATATTCAAGTTTGGATGTGGGGTTGCGGGTACCGTGGCGAGGTTCTTTAGTCAATGAGAGCAGTAAGCTGCCGAAGCCTTTAACATGTTGACACGTTCTATACGAAGAGGAAGTGCACGGTGAACTACAAGAGACTTGTTCGCACTTCCTACACAGTCAGAAAGGGTCAAACTGTTATGAACAATGCACGCACGATCCTGTTGTTCGAGAACAAAGTGCTCTCCTAGCTACTGTGTTTCAGTGCTGAGACACTCAGTGGTGGTATTTGGGGCAGGTGTTGCAGACAGTTCTCAGCTGGGCCGTGTTCGCAGGACTGCGCACAAGAGAGTGATGCTCTTGCTTCACTGAGTTTCTTTATGGCTGCCTTTGCAAGAACCCTAGAGACACCACGAAACTGGACTGTCTCTTCAATCCGTGTCGCAGCTCTGTGCTTCGCACTTCCAACTCTCTATGAGCGGAGGGACAACTTACATGTACTTCGTGTCCTGGCTTAAAATTGATTAATTAAACACAGTTTACACTTTGTTAAATAGTTCGGAATGCGAACACTTTCCAATGCGTGCACCATCTGCCCTAGATTGAATCCCCCCCCCCCCCCCCCACCGCATACAGGTAACTGTCATACACATCCATACGAACGCACACATGCACACACACGCGCGCGCACACACATGGCTGTGGACTTGCTTTCTTGACCGTTACCAAAGGAAGGAAGGGCTGACATGAACACAGTCACCACCCAAAAAGGGTTGATAGTATTATTATATGGGGAATATGACAAAACAATGATCAGGACCAAGAAGGCGAAAACCTCTACTTACGAATAACATATACATTGTACTAAGATGAACTCGGATGGTGAGCCAATTAAATTGTTCACCATAATTGTACTCAGAGCATTTGATTTCTGGTGTAACTACATGCCTAGCATGAGGAATACTTGTCCCTTGCATTCGAGGTAGGAAAACTCAATTTTGGGATACTTAATTATTAGATAATTCTATTCGTGTTCCTAATGTCCGTGACAATAGTTTCCATCAACATGCTGCTGGCTCATGATCTTGGTAATTTGCTGAACTACAGTGGGGTTTTCACTGGCCACGTCCTTCGTCTCTCCTAAATCCTCCATCAGATTGTAGAGCTCCAGCGAAGTAGCGTTGTAGTCATACCTGCACAGGTAAGCATGTGATTGTGCGTGAACGCAGGCACATAATTATACATGTACATGTTCCACGCAAGCACATAAACACACGCATACATTCAAAAAACTCACACTGGCAATTGCAGAAAATACGGTGGTCTGGCACCTCAGGCCGGAACGTTTGATAAATTAAAAATCCATCAATACAAGCGTTCCACCTGCCTGTGTGAATTCACAGGAACCTTGAGTTTCGAAGTCTGAAGAGATTGTTGGATGACGACTACACCATAGCTCAATGGTTACAGCATCGCTGGCCATAAGCGAGGGTACCTGGTTCAAGTCCAGGTGGTGACAGTCAAGTTGATCATTTATTTCAGACTTTTCCCGTTTGCATCATTCCCTCAAACCAATGAACACCAAGTTAATTAATTTTCTTTTCTTCAGATTTTCTCCCTTTTCAACTCTCCCAACTGATAAGTATACCACTTTCGATAAATTCAGTCGTGGTTAATGCTATAATTACAGGAGCAGAGGAGATCCGTAGATTCATCTCCGGCGGCGGACATACTCATTCCAGAGAATAGCACAAATCAAGCAAGAACCTTGAGGACTTCTTCAGAGACACCTAAAGTTGGAACTACATACAAGACCTACAGTCACAGATGGCGATACCTTACCTGACAGCTTTCCAGTGCGGTTCAATAACTACACTCTGGCCCCAACCCTTCTTGTCCTCGTTCGGTGCGCAGTACTCGTGGTAGATGAAACTGCAGAACGAGCCATTCAACACGATACTCTTCAGCTTTTTCAAGTATGAAGGCAATACTGTACTTTCCAAAAACAGAAGCTAAGAAGCTAATAATATAGAACGTCTACTATGGTCTCGGATGGAGAGCCAAGGATAAATTTATAGAAAAAACGGACAAGGAACTACAAGCCTTCCTTGGTCCTTTTTGTCTGTTTTGGTGTTTAAAATGGTCGATGATTGAGGATGCCCTACCATAAACCTCCACACCTCTCACGAATGGCATTACATGTTTGTGCTTCAAAATATATACATTGTACATGAATGTGACATGATAATGAGTGGATCCACCGACTATTCCCTACTCGCAGAGACACAGCTGCATGGCATACTGGTACTTCAGTTATTAGTATACGTATGCTTTACCCTTTTGTTTGTTAGAGTGCATGTGTTCTGCAGAGATGACTTGACATGGGAAACAATAAGAAGACTAATGCATTTACATGTACATATGACAACCTGGGCAATATTGGGGTTTTCCCACGGACCAAGAGCTGGGCTAATGCAGTGAGCTAGCTACCTTAAACTTACTCCGGCTGTGGTTGTGCTTGTCCCTTGAGTGTAGGAACAAATGAGTAGCCGTCATTCGCTGGCAAGTCACTGCTGCTCACATTGGCAATATCAGCCTGAAACAAGACCCCAAGAAACGTCATAACACAAGATCGTTTTCTTCAAGTCACTTTTTAACCAGTCTCTCCCCCCCCCCCCCCCCCCCCGCCCCCCGTAACATTGTGTTTCTCGCATAAGGCAAGAGAATGACTTATCTTCTTCGGCGCAATAGTATCAAATATTCAGTTCTTGGGCGGATCCTTGAATACTATAAAACGTCAAATCCTTCTCTGATCTTAGGAGCGTTTCGAATCATCAGGTTGGTGTTCTCCCAACCCTATCACATGTTCTTTCATCAGCTGCTCGTGAATAGTGTTGTCACCATCTAGACGCTGAAGAAGAAGATTGAAACATTATTTGACTCGCATGCAAAATCATTGTCTGCTCGATATGACCCTAGTAAAGTTCAATTCCCAGTATTAAATGTGATAATAATTCTACATGCAGACGTGATCTTGCTTAGCTACAACTTACTGCAGTTGCCATGAAATCGTAGAAGGCCCATCGCTGAGGCGACGTTGTTCCCGGCTTGACAACATCGGGCTAATGTGGAAACAAGATTGGACAGCCAGTATAATGATATCATTGAAGTGTACTCTATACACAGAGCGTATCACATACAAGTAAGAAAGATTGGAATTTGTCACAACTTTTAAAAGTTTCATGCTGAGGCGATCATCAGACACCTGATGTTTAATGTTGTGCCTATAAACACACAGAAGAACAAGGGCAATCAAGGCTAGCTAGTCGCTACTCAGAGTTTCAAGCTTTCGCAATCATCAGGCATCCTGCGATGTCCATAAACACATGTATACATGTCATCCGGCGCAACTTAATGTTGAGGGAGCATATCTTCTAAAACACCTCCTGTTCAATGTGATAGTTAAGGGCAGGGAGTAGTACAGTTACGGCAACTGAAATCCGACTCAGGCCTGAGCGGTTGGTGCGCTCACATCGAAAAGACCCAAAACGGGATAGTAAAACTCCGAAATAGAGATCGCCCAGGGGTCGGATTTCAGTTGCTAGCACTCTACAATATTGTACTCCTCCCTGGCAAAGGGTAACGCCAACCTTACCCATCTGACCAACAGTGGCGATCGAATGCCACCCTCATGGAGGCTGCGCTTGAAGCCGCGCAGTGGTCCTGAACTCTCGAAGAACTGATAACTATGGGTGCTGAAATCACAATGAACAGGAAAACAAGGATACTCACGAGCTGATCGCGTTTTTATTGAATATTATAAAGTTATAAACCATGTTATGGCATCATGCAACAGCATGGAGCACACACAGAGTGTGTAATGCGTTTTCTGAGGGGGTGGGGGCGAACTGTCTACATCGAAGTACATTGAACAGTCTACTTCGAAGTACATTGAACTGTTCACATTCTGGAAGTTTTCAAAGTATAATGTTACAAAGACTTCCTGGAAACAAATTCCACTCGTCGAACAGGTACAGTGATGAATGCACACGGAACACATGATGTCATGTAGCTCGGCGTTGAGTCGAATTTGTGCATTCATGATCGTAGCAGATCATGTTCTATACCACCAGTCACTACTTGTATAATTATACTCAATCTGTGGACCTGTAAATTATATGATTGTATTGCCAGTATGCTCTTGAGGTTTCCATTTTATTCTTTCTGGCAGCGCCTTGAAATGTTTCTGGGCCGCTAATGTCCAAGGATTCCATGAGAAGCACTTCAGTAACGTGATCTATCACAGCTCTATGTCATGAAGTGACTTACCCTTCATTATGAGCACCATTGTCGCTGGCATAAAAGACCACCTGCAATGAGTGCAAGTCACAGAAAAATACAATCAAGATAATTATTACATGTTGTATGAAGGGCACATAGGACTGCACTTGATCCTAGTAGTAGTACACATACATACAATGTAAGTGCAGCGGGATCATACCAGGTGCGACCGCGTGGCCTAACGGATAAGGCGTCTGACTTCGAATCAGAAGATTGTGGGTTCGAGTCCCATCGTGGTCGTTTCTCTTTTTTATTATTATAAATAGCTGTGTATTGTTAGAGTAAATGATCTTTTTACCCCGGAGCAGGGAGTGAATTGTGATTGACTTCCAAACCACGACTTTCCAGTTTCTCCCCTAAAGAAAATTTCTATTTCCTATTTCCTCGCAAATTCTAGACTCTATTTTCAACTCTACGGAGTAAGAAGGAAGCACTGCAAGAAACGAACCTGACCACTGCGAAGTGTTATCCGGCCATGGAGCCGTTCCTCACATCTATAACTTGGTACAAATGTGTAGATCAAAGGAATACATGTACATGTATGTAACGTGGAAGTTCAACATTGCAATACCTTGTATTTGGTAGACCTCTCTATAGACTAGAGCTTGGTGGATAATGCTCACAAATTTGGCAGATTGCGCTCGAAAAGCAGTGAAATTGGCAGGACCATACAAACCTTATGGCAGGCAATTCCTTGAATTCTGCTCTATGTCTTTATCCACACACCAAAACATGAAACATACTAGAAAAAGTACCAAATTCGGCCAATTTTTCTGGCGGCATTATCCGTCTAGAACTACCTCTCTACGGACAGAATCAATAATAATTATTATAAGAGAGTGAAGCAATGGGAAACGAGCACGGAGTGACTCGCCATCTCTTCTATCAAGTTTCACATCCCTACGTTATGATCTAGGATTCCGCTGCGTCACTGTGTGCAACGAATTCAGCGTTTATCCAACTCGATTTGCACTTGTGCTCTCTAATAACTATTGAGTTGGACTGTAGTGTAGTGTAGATATAGATGTAGTAGTAGTATTTATTATTTTACTTGGATACACCCAACAGGCCTATGGCCTTCTAACAGGGCGCCCAAGGATGTCTTCCCTACCAAGATGGAAGCAAAACTACCCAGTGATACGGGGGGGGGGGGGGTATAACGTTACAATGACTATGTGCCTGTCCACCTTTATGACATTATACAATTACAAGACTTAGTACTACTAGGAAGTGGAAGCCAATGAACGTATGAAGGGTAGCAGCACTGCAGCAGAAACACGATTACTTTGATGTACTGCATTCGTATTTGCATACCAGCCAACATGGGGCCAACTGGGAAGTCTGTTTGCTGAAAGTACCCGTATGCCACTGTCAAGTGCACCATCTGTTCCCTTTTGTTTGTCAATAACCTGAACAACTAACTTTGTATGTATACAGCACATAGTGATTCCGAGGTCTATACACACCAATGTACATGTACTTCAGTAAGGGTTTGACATCCATTGAAACTGCAACGACCGCAATCTGAGCTTCGAGTGGCTTTGCGTCAACTGCCAAAGCTGCTGGAGTTTTCTCCTTTTGCAGTTTTGGCTAATCAGCGCATTAACGATCTTTGACCATAAAATACAAATAAATGTACAAGCAGCTGCGACAGCCCTAACGTCCTAATGAGGTGTGGGTATACAGTACTATACACTGTACATGTCAAAGTTTAAATAGTGGTGTTGAAGAACCTGATGTGTGTGTGCTCTTTTAGTGTTCGGCCATACATGCAATTGTACTGTCAGTCATTCCGGTGGTGCATACACCGTGTCACCACAAGAGTGCTTCCATTATCTTTCTGGAGTGTGATGGCCCAGCTTCGGGAAAGCTAACAAGATATGAGCCCCAGTTACTAACACATGACGTCTGCCACTTCCTTTGTCAGGAATATACATTCAAGAACCACAACCACAACGTGAGGTTACTGTTTCAAGTGTAATGACATAATGACATAATTGCATTGTAACAGTCTGGCTGTCTGCATCATTGAGTAATGACATGATTGCATTGTAACAGTCTGAGGAAATAAGAAGCATTTTCGCATTTTCCCAGACACACGCTCAGCACCAACAATGTTCTTTTGAGAACTAACACTACGGCATGCATCACTGAGAATAGTACGTCAGTTGCCTGAAGATTGCCTTGGACCTGAAATTTCTAGTAACAACCACACGCTGTACTTCGAAGTACTAGTAATCCCGAATGGTTCTTGTGAGTGCACATGCACATGTACATGTATAAGGTAAATCATTAGCATCCTCTGTACTTTGAAGTACATCACTGGGATGCTATGAATTTTAAATAGGGTGGTGCACGATTTACATGTACATGTAGAAGGAAGCAGAGGCTGAAGTGAAACACATGATGATCCATGTACATGTATTTCATGACTGTAATCTACAAGACTGTACATGTGTGTAGTCTTGACCCAACTACAATGTAGTATTACAATGTAGATAGAGGGATGTGTCGTCACCAGCACCTAGACTATAGCCATGGGTTATTATTATTATTACGAAGGTCATAGACTCATAATCTGAAAACGGTAGGAAAACTTTACAAAAACTATCACAAAACATTCATGTACTTGAAGTAAGAAACTTAACAAATGGGCAAACTGCTCGTGGAGCTCTCAGTCCCTGCTCTGTATTCTTACCGTGTCCTTGGCTAGTCCTAGTTCATCCAGTGCGTCCAATACTTGACCCTATCAGTATCAGCAGCAACAGCAATCCGCATAAACAAGAATGCACCGGTCACCGATTACCTGACAGTACAGTGCCCGCCCTTTTCCTCATTCACATCATTAATTTTTGCTTTGACTCAACTAATTACTTGACTGAGGTCTGTTACCAGGCAACGTTTCGGGCACACCGGGCCCTACACAGTTTAGTCTGTTCTGACCTCCCGCAACCGTGCGTTCACACAGCGAAGTGTGACATTTAGCATTCACCTGTTGTACTTCACCACGGACGGTAGGAATCAGGGAGTTGTATTTTACTACTCCCTGGTAGGAATGTCCAGTGGTTTCACACGTTACTACATGAATACATTGTACAGTGTACTGCTGTACATGTTTGTGCCTTTCCCTCAAAGTCAAACTAGTGAAGTACTATACATCATAGTCATGTATTTCAATAATAATAGTAATACTGCTGGGTGATTATTGCGACTTGGTACGCATAGCAGTACAGTCTGCAATGCAAGGTCTCACTACTTAGTTCCACGGTTGACTCTCCGTCGTCGACAACTGCAAGTCGTGTATTGTTGCTCACACATATCCAAATAATTTAATTGTCATCGAGTCTTCTGACAGTTTGATCTACAAGTACAGCCTCGACAAGTAAACAGAATCTGAGAGTTGTCACCGTGCCTGATAAAGTGTCAGCTGAGAACCGTCTAGTCCAGGCTAGTATTCCCGTTTTCCAACAAGCACCTGTCTTGTCCGCTGTGCTGAATTTCTCTCCAAGACCGCGTCAAAGAGTGAGGGCCTAGACCATGTACTTTCATGATGTAGAATTTTCAAGTCAAAGCGGCGCAGTGACAGCTCGGACTAGTCGACTCCCATGTGTTCACGCGTTTGCCATCTCCGCCACCGCCTGGCTGTGCATGCCCCAGATTTCTCCTCTGTGTAGATTCCACCCACGGGAACATCGTCCATCCCCGACAAGTCCACGGAGGAGATAGGGCTAAAGTATGCAGCCCTGCAGCTAAAGGCGCTACTAACTTTATCGCCCCAGGTGTCACCGACTGAAGCAGAAAGCATGTTGCGCACTTCAGACTTCAGGATTTCACTGCTCGCACAAAGCGCCGTTGACACGAGCCAAATCGACGCCACTCCGGCCGGGAAGTAGATTGGGTACCTGAGGCCTTCCTGAAATCCACAATAAAATTATTATTAGTCTCGCTGTAGCACTCCGACGCTCCACTCAACTCAAACCTTGCGCGGTGCAGCCTGTCGAGCGACTAATGCTATAAAGAAATGCAATGGGCTCGTGAAATATTTCATCCGCAGTACCATCACAGTATGTACTCGAAGTATTTCATAATTCAATCAGCCGTTCTTCCACTCGCGCAGCATTGACTTTACTGGAGCCGCTGTCGCAGCGGAACGATGAAAGGACTTACCAGGCTTGCAAGGAGGCTGCCGTCGGACTGCTTTGCGTCATCCAGTTTTTGACTGACGGCTCTGACGTGTTGATACGCGCAGCCAAGTGAGCGACAGCGCTAGTAGTGGAAATGTTACGAATGTCCCGGACTGATCCAAGAAACTTTGTACGCTGATGTGGTTTCATTCCTCAACAGAACCGGATCTATTTCTTTGGATGCTTCCAGCAGGTGAATGCTGTAACATAGACGTAACCTCGCCTGCAGGGCGGTCAACTCCAGCTGATCAGGTAAAGTGCAGTGGCTGATAATATCCCTGGCGGACACAATAATGCTGTAAGATGGCGTCGTTGTCGTTTCGGTGTTCAGTGCTTCGCCGGCGCTGCAAGTCGAGATGCAGTGCGCACCCACGACGTCAGATCGCGGCGATCTTCGTAGCTCTTTGTTTTGTGCTGCTGGCTCAACTGTGGCTCCCTAGCAACGAGTACAAGTGTGCGGAAGACGTTGATGACGAACGGCAGGGTGTCGCTCGACGCGGACTGAGTGGCTGGAGGTGCGCCAAGTCTCCAGCACGCGGCACCACGGAACACGGCCGTGAACGCATTGACCGCCGTGATGCCGTCACACTGCTGCACAGTGTGGATAATGACGACTCAGACTCTGACACGGAGATGCAACCGTCTCAAATCACAGGCGCTCAGGATTATGAAGATTCTCTAGAGGAAGGGCAGAAAGAAATCACAGGCGCTCGGGATAATGAAGATTCCCTAGAGGATGGGCAGAAAGAAGATTTCAAGATCCGTAAAGGTATCAGCACCGTGATTTCACCAGTAACAGAGGATCCTGACGCCGACCAAGACAATGATGGCGTATGGCATGAAAGCAATGACCCTGCCGACTTAGAGTTGGCTGAAGATCCTGTCACTGAAGAGCCTGATGAGCCTGATGAGCCTACCATCCAAGCCACCTCAAGTGTGCACAATGAACCTACAGCAATGTCCACGGAATCTAGAGAGGAACCGGATCAGGAAGGGGCAGTGATATCCACGAAGCCTTCTCAGGCATCAAAACCAGCAACTTCAACATTGGTCCATACGGAACTGTACAAGCTGCAAGTGGGGAATTTAGTGGAGGTTCGGCCTGACTCAGTTCCACACCAATACTGGAAAGATCAGGATGAGGATGGCCACGTCATTGCAACTCTTCGTGATGGGAACAGAAACCCCGTGAGAAGTTCTCTTAGCTCTCATCAGCAGTCACAGTATCAGCCTAACTGGCAAGGGCAGAACCAGAGGATGATTGACACAGCGACTGCCGAACAGCAGGATAAAGACTATCAATACACAGACAACGAGAACGAAGACGATGCGGATGAAGGCCACCGTAATGGGGATGAGCAAGCGGTGCATATGACCATGCTGCCCTCTAAGCGACAACAGATACCTCCTCAACTACCTGTTCTGGCTCGCAGTTCTAAACAGTTCACCGACTCGAATGGCGTGAAAAATTTGCCTACACCGTCGGTAAATAACAACGAAAACCCTATCCATGGCGTGCAAAGAACTGACATACAATACTCCAATGAGAAAGCACCAGGAGGACAGAACATGCTGAATGGAGTGTATGCCAACAACAATCCTGCAATACTCGTTCCGCAGAAGACGAACCACGAGGACGGCTATAGCAAAAGTGATTTTGATGATGCTACTGACGACACTGGAAACCAATATAACCGACAACAAGGGATAGCGGACATTGGAGATGATGCTGGCAACCAATATAACCAACAACAAGGGATGCAAGATACTGGAGATGATGCTGGCAACCAGTATAACCAACAACAAGGGATAGTGGATACTGGAGATGTTGTTACTGATGATGCTGGCAACCAGTATAACCAACAACAAGGGATAGTGGATACTGGAGATGTTGTTACTGATGATGCTGGCAACCAGTACAACCAACAACAAGGGATAGTGGATACTGGAGATGTTGTTACTGATGATGCTGGCAACCAGTACAACCAACAACAAGGGATGCAGGATACTAGAGATGATGACTACCAGCAGCAACCGTACCAGGATAGTGTCAACCGTGAGCAACAGTCGCTCGGCGTCCGTGACACATCTCAGAATGCTGAGCAGCTACCAGCTAACATGGGTCGATCACGACTTGCCGCTGTCAATTATCATCAGCAGGCACGCAGGTTTCCCAGTCGCACACAAGATAGACCCATGCCCATGCAATGGCGTGACCAGCAACCAGCGCAGCAAGCTATCCGCTTTCCCAAGGAAAACGCCGGCGTCCAGTATCCCGTAGCCCGTCGCGGCCGCTATCAGGATCAGCAAGATAACGGTCAGTGGGGAGGTACATTGCCGAAGCATCGACAAGCCTCGGAACAATCACACTTCCAGTCACATCGCTATGACGACGGTCAATCAAATCTCAATGACGACGGAGTTGGAGCCCAGCAGTCCGATTACGATTACAACGGCAATAATGGCGATGGTGCCAATGGTGGAGCATACCTCTTGCAAAATGCTCGGCAGAACTCGCCCAGAATCGTTGATTTTGCAGACAGTTTTGAGCCTGTCGACACTGACAGAAGAACCAATGGATTGCAAACACGCCAGGGACAAGCTCCTATGAAAACCGGGCGCAAGCGTCAGCCGGCTCAGCGACCCATTCTCCCGCAAATGAACATGAAGGATGTGTCATTTGATGGTGATGATGATGACGATGACGATGATGACGATTACAATGGCGACAATCAGGACCAAGCTGACTATCAAGCAAGCACGAAAAGGAAAAAGAAACCGACTCTCAAGCCACTGCCTCTCTTCAGTCCGGAAGGAACGCCGTCGAAGGAATCCCTGAAGTATATCTGGCATCATGACCGATCCTTCCTGGACGCACAGAGTTGCAAGTGGGCCCAACCACGTCCGGCCAAGCTTCAGAGGTCCACATATGTGTCGCAGGGCGAGGCGGCGCGACGTGGCTGGAACTATGGACACTGCACGAAGGAGCACCATCGACGGACCGACCGCATGTTCCTGCTGACCGCCGTGCTACTGGTGCGTGTATACAAGGCTGACCTGGCGCAGCTGGGCGTGCAGGAGGTGCTCACCTGGCTGGATTATCTGCGGTACGCTGGAGTCGGCCACGTGCTGCTGTATGATGCCTATCACGAGCAGAGCGAATCACTCCAGAGCGGCGTGCGGCAGTACCAGGAGACCGGATTTCTCACCTACATCGACTGGAGTGCGCATGCCAAGCCCTACTCGATTGACGGAACGCAGGTGACCGCTTACCAATCAGCCATCCAGCGCTACGGTTGCGAATCGCATTGGCAAATTGCTATCGACATCGACGAGTACCCATTCTCCCCGATTGACACCAAGCCAGGGTTTCTGGCTCGCTATGTCGCCAAGCTGAAGAACAGTGCACCTCGAGAGTACTACAGTCGACAGGCGATTTACCTGAGCAAATCCGATGACGATGAGGATAACTCTCGCTATAAAACTTTGCGGGAGAAAGAGGTGTACAGTCAGCTGCATGTCAGTTTGAAAGACGCCGCCATCTTGGAGGTCACCATGGGCAACTACCTGCATCTCGGTGCACCTCACCCACACACGGAGCGCCACCTGTTCGGCCGCTACTGGCGTAGAGATGGCTTGCGGTCGAACGACTTGGTGAAGCCGATCTACCGCTGCAACCCGCAGGCTGTCAGCGCTTCCATTCATCACAATTTCCTCTCGGTCCCCGGCCTGTCCGTACCGGCAAACAATAGTGTGCTGAGAATGAACCACTATTGGGGCGCTCGCGTCCAGGACTGGGGGCCGGACACGCCGAAATCGCTGTCGCGCACCATCAAGGACGCGGCGATGAAGCCGATCCTCGACGCATTCCACGCATGCGCCTCGCACCTGCCCAGTGGCATGTCACAGTGGACCGCACCGCCAGTCCGGAGATTTCCTGTCACCAAACCGCCGCCACCACCGGTCGTACGGAAACGCACTGCTGGCGTATTGCGAAGGGGAAGTACCGCTCGCAAAATTCCTGTTGGTCATCCAAGCTTTTACAAAAGGAAACCTGTCCAGAATAATGCAGGGAAGGCGCATGTACATGTGAATGCAGCACCGGTACGCCACTTCCAACCTCAACGCTCACCAAAGTCAAGAAAGAAGTTGGGTCAACAGTACAGGTTTGTAGACTGAAAACTTGAAAACCCCTGTTCGGTTACAAATGTCTGGATTTGATGTACTGGCAAATGATACATTAGTCATCATCCAGTCTCGTGACAAATTATCGTTTTTGTTGTTGAAGAGATTGAAAAACTGTGGAATTCTAGAAAGCATTGGAATCAGTGTTACACATAATTATGTCTCACTTGAACCATAATAATTATTATGTCGTACTTGAACCTAAACTGTTGATGTAATTGCAAATGTTGTAATTTTTATCAGAGGACTGGTCAGAATTATCGCCTGGAAAGTGTCATTGAGCCATCAATAGAGATTACCTGTATTTATGAAGAATACGGTCTATACATTTTTTTCCTTTACAACTGCGTCAAACTATTATTATTGTCTAGCTAGTGAGCCCATTTTCATTCACAGTTCTTATGTTCCATCAAGTTCTAACGATCCGCATTATAATTTATTGATTCAGTTCATAAAACTGTCTGGAATGTTACACCATGCCGAAAATTTATCGATGTAGCAGTTTGCTTGTCCGAAATATTATTTCCACACGACTATCTTGTTGCGCTGGTCCATGTCTGCTCTGCTTGGGCAGCTTTTGATCTGGCTCCTGTGTGAATGACGTCACAGTGCTTTTACTGTCCGTGTTAATTTAATTATAATGTTATACAATGTACAAAATGTAGGTACAGCAGTATAGAGAGTAGAGGGGAAATGTAGATCTCTGCCATAGCAGCTTGCTGCTGTTGTAGCTGTTGCTTCAGTGGTTTCAAATCTTTATTCTCACGATAGCCAGTGGCCAATAAGGTGGTTGCTGTTGTTGTTGTTGTTGCTGTTGTTGTTGTTGTTGTTGTTGTTGTTGTTGTTGTTGTTGTTGTTGTTGTTGTTGTTGTTGTTGTTGTTGTTGTTGTTGTTGTTGTTGTTGTTGTTGTTGTTGTTGTTGTTGTTGTTGTTGTTGTTGTTGTTGTTGTTGTTGTTGTTGTTGTTGTTGTTGTTGTTGTTGTTGTTGTTGTTGCTGCTGCTGCTGCTGCTGCTGCTGCTGCTGTTGTTGTTGTTGTTGTTGTTGTTGTTGTTGTTGTTGTTGTTGCTGCTGCTGCTGCTGCTGCTGCTGCTGCTGCTGTTGTTGTTGTTGTTGTTGTTGTTGTTGTTGTTGTTTTCGCTGATGTTGTTTTCGTTGTTGTTTTCGTGGTTACTGCTGTTGCTGTTGGTGGCGGCGGTGACGGGTGTCGGTCTGCTGTACCCATATGAAATGAGTTACCAAACAGACGAACACTTAGGGATATGATTGGTGAATGCCCTCAGCAGATCAGGGCCACTGTCAGTTAGTTGCCTATTGCCTAAACTAGGCTTACCACATGTGCGTCTTGCTTGTGGACACAGGAGGCGAAGTGCTTCTCCACCTGCAATTATCACAGAAGCAGAAAGAACATGTCTGGAGGGGGGGGGGGGGGGGATCGACGTAAATCCGTCAACACATGTACAAGTACACCATATTATTGAGCACAAACACAAACACATACTAGGTACATGTACAGTGTATTAACTTAAAGTCGCAATCTCCTTCCACCCGGCACCGACGTACTACACTGTCAGTACACTTTCGTTTGATGTTCGTTCAGGTTCTGTGAAGTTTCCAACACGCGTATTTCTCCTGGTCTGGATTATGGCTGCAGTGATTCCTGAACAATGTCATCGTGCAGTCTCATTCGTCTGGAACCAGGCAATCACAGTGCAAGTGAGGCCTTCCAGCACCTTCAAAGGACCTTTATCAGTACTTAACATAGAGGAAAACGCTGCGACAAACTCAGCCAACACATGTACAGTGGTGGCAACTGAAATCCGACCCCCTGTGCGGCCCGCCGCGCCTCCCAGGGGGTCGGATTTCAGTTGCCAGCACTGTACATGTACTTCAAGAAGAATGTAATTTTTTTAAAGCTACCTCCGCCATGTTACAATGCTTGTACACTCATGGTCGACCAACAATTTGAACTGATTCTCCGGATAGTCCGCTGTTTCGACTCTGTCAGTTAGGTCTCACCAGCAAAGATTGTCTTGGCTAACCGAACCGATCGCAGTTACATGCACGTCAAGTGAACAGCAATGTTCTTGAATCGACCATAACGAAGAATAAATTCAGAGCCCTTTGCCAGTGTAACTACGATAAACACAACGAGCTTCGATAGGATGATGGGCCTGGGGAAGGCAGATGACATCTGGTAAAATACAAGACTTGGTACAAAACATCTTACGAAGTACATGTAGTGGTTGCGACTTCGGCGATGATTTGTTTGAAAAGGGTTTGCTCCCCCGGAGGGGTGAATTCCCCGAAACACTGTGTAAAGAGCAGGGAGTGGTGCTTTCTTGCAGGTTTGCCCAGTCGAAGGTTCAATGGACTTCTCGTGTGCTCTGGATGGCAGTCGTGAGTCAGTCAAGTGTCAAGTCCAGTCGGCGGAATAGCGCGAGCTCCAGTGGGGGGAGCAAACACTTTTCAAACAAAACATCTTTAAAACTTTCTCCATGTCCACGGGGGGTACTTACATCGGGCCAGGATTTGTCCGCGTAAATACCCTCGTCAGGGGCAGGAACACCGGTTTCTTTGTTCTGAGGAACACATACATGTACATGTACATGTAGGCGAGGGGAAGAAGACAAGCATCGTTCTAACATCATTGTGCGCCTAGAATGGAATTCCTCTGCTGGAAATATGCAGTGAGACTTCGGTGCATGTATAAAGTACCCCGGACATAACATGCATTCCTTTCTCTTGCCAGTCTTGGCATCGGATATCCAGATCTTCGACTATACAATGTAAGTCATTGATTATACATGGGTCTGTACGTGTCTTAGAGGTACTTTGCAATTATTATTGAATTCCCACTGACCTAGGAAACCCTAATACAATGCCTGTCGCAAGTCAAGACAATCACCTGAGCAGTGGTAGAGATGCTGTTTGACTCAGGCAAGGCAATGTACTGTAGCCAGTGTAGGCGATGTCAAGGATACTTGTATGTATGCTCACCTGGTAATGGGGCCAACAATATCATCTTAAAAGATATCAAGTTCCATTGGTTGCCGAATCCAAACTGGTCTTCAGCATGCTAGTTGTAATGCATAATTTTATTATGTACCGGGTTGTATTAATGTGTCTTACCGATCCAACATCTCCGGCGTGTGGTGTGGTGAAGGCCAGAAAAATGTAGAAGTCTCGCTCCGCGTTCTTGTGCTCACGGAGTAGGGCCAACGTCTCGTTGATGAAGAGGTCTACACGCACACGCAACCACACAATAGTGAGCAACCCACCCTGCATCAATCCCCTAGGAGCGAGATTCCATAATACATGTACTGGTACCGTGTTTTCCGGGGTATAAGCGCACTTTTTTTCCCTAAAAATCGGACCAAAATCGCCCCTGCGGCTTATACACCGAATATGCTTGCGCGAATGAATGCTTAGCATAATATCAGTATGCATGCTGACGTCATGTGACATGTCATTCGACTCAGCTTCGCGCCTGTGTTGCTGATCAACACAGTGGCAGCGAGACTGAAGATAGTGCAGATGACATGGAGTGATCAGCCTGCTGTGCACTAACACTTCATAATCTGATCTAACATGGTATTTAGCTCCATAACCATAATAAATTTGTAGAAAGGCCATTTGTCAATGAGTGTGAAAAATCTTGGTTTGTGGGTGCGGCTTATACTCCGAATACCAACTTTTAGTCAATATTTTGCCTCAAAAAGGGGGGTGCGGCTTATACCCCCATGCGGCTTATACCCCGGAAAATACGGTAATATACGTTCACAGTATCTCTGTTGCACTCTTTGCTCATAGCTACATGTACATACACTGGTAAGCAGCTCGCGCAAGTATACAATCATGTACATCATTGCAATGAAGGTTGGACCGACGTCAGAACGGGTTTTGCTGTGTAAACTGAAATTCTCACGCCCCGCTCCAGTACTTGGACTAATAATGCTAAACTTAGAATGTCGCCTTGTGGTGGTGTGACTCGGGAGTCGGACTCAAAAATACACTGGCCAGTACGGATGCAGAAATTGGATGCAAATTCCAAAACAGAATCAGGATCCCTAAACGATGCACAGTGGGTTTGCAAGCGTGTAATTATTTATACCTTCGGCCCAGACACAGTTGGTCGTGAAAGGATTGCCACACGTCTTTCGCGATGCATTCATGTTCTTAGCGATCACTTCGTGTTCCTGCGGGTAACAGGTGAGGCACAAAACACACAGAGACACCCTTGAGCAATTAGCTGTACACATGTGTAGATTAGTGGCTCTTCAGAAATTGTTTCCCGATGTACAGACACTGGTCATGCCATGTGGGGAAGACCATTTTGATTGGGAGATGATGGAGAATGTTTTAGATGTCAACTTTTTCGGTTAATTTTAAAACGTATGCTCTGGAACTGTGCACTCCCACAACATCTATTAATAGGCTATTGCCCCTAAAACAAAACTTGGAAAGGATGGCTATCATAAACCACTATTATCTATTCCTTTGCGTACCATGTCTCTCCACAGAAACGGTGGGTAATAATCGTGCGCGTTCTCCTGGCTGGTGTAGCCGTAAAAGAAGTCAAATCCTTTGTTGTTGGGAGAGGCAACCGTTCCGTTGGAACCTGTGGATTACACGACACAAATCACCCACGGAATTTCGATCAGAAATTTACGCATTGCTGCCGTAGGTTTTCGAGGTATTAAAAACTTATAATTGTCTGACACATACATGTACAATGGCTACATGTAAGTACATGTACATGGACATGGACGTGTAGCATCCGAACCTGTCCCAGGAGCAGTACGAATGAATGTACATGTTATTGAGCGTTCAGACCTGCAGTTGTGGCCTTGTGGGAATCGCTATAGACTGCCTTCTCACTAGCTCTTCATCACGTTTTCAAGAACTTTTCTTGTAAGGAGAGCGTAGTGTATGGACGTCCACTCGCAATGTTTTAACTTTTACCCCGTTCTAAACCAAAGACCACAGCACGGCAGTAGTGTGAGCATACCGAGTCCCCATTTCCCTATCAGGGCTGTGTGATATCCAGCATTCTTTAGGACATGGGCGACGGTGACATCGGAGGAGTTGAGCTCGGGTCCGTTCGACCGGACGGTACAATGACCAAGATGCTTGCCCGTCATCTGTTGAAGATAGGCACGATATGACATACACACACGCACACACACACACACACACACACACACACACACACACACGCACGCACGCACATCATCACTGCAATTAGCAACACCTGGTCGGCTGAGCCACGACCGCATCGTGCTTTTTATTATCAGGGATAGCCTTCCACTCACTGAATAAAGAATAAAAATCCTTGATGCATCTAGGGACTAAGACATGCACCATGATTAAATTATGGTATTTCTGGAGTAGAAGCTGCGCTCAGATTTTTGTCACGATATGCAGACATCAACCCCATTAAAATTGTATCACTGTTAATTTGACAATCGTACAGTAGTATAAGCTGCACGACTTCTTTTAGGTGAATTCCTAGTGTTTTAAGTGCGGCTTTACTCCAGAAAGACTCTTGAGTACGGCTTACCACTTACCAATGCACATCTGGATGGCGCGCACACGGGTGCACCCGTATAGGCATCAGTGAACATCATGGATTCCTCTGTCAGCTCTAGACACGAGTACACACACACAAGAAACGGATGTGAACAAAGGGTAGCTCACGGCGTTGGCTCACATAACTCTTGAACATTAATGTAAAATTTCGTATATCACGCTGACGCCAACGCTGAGAGCACAACTCAAGATGGTCTTGTCAGAATAGTCTAGAGTGATTCTGATTCAGAATGAGAGGAACACATGTGCATCAAAGGATTAAATGAACACAGATACAGGCCAGAAAGGTCTGTATCCTTGACATCTTTATCGGTGGCCACATGATCATGTAGACACCGATATTCATTCTTCGCAGCATGATGTTAAATGTTGGTGCTCGTACACCGCACATCAACCACCGATTATTTGGTTTTTGAATGAGTACCATGTTGTCATTATTTCCGGCCTCACTCCTTGAACTGGCTAGCACAGCCATTGTGCGAACATGCTCTGCAGCAGTTGACAGAAAGCGCAATGCCTGGCGGAAATTCCGCGATGACCCCAGAAATGGAGCGCTCCGGTGTATATACAAGCTAGCATGCCTTGACTCAACAAGATGTCTAGCAAGAGCCAAAGCCAGACATCTCGACCATGTAAAGCAACGGCTCCGGACGGGCAGCCTGCAGGACAGAGAGTGGTGGAGCTTGATTAAAGGGGAAGTCCGGTGAAAAATTTAAATTTCACAGTCCGTAGAGTTCGGGGCGCTGAGTCGAATGGTCTTTGTTCGAGGAGGCTGCGGCTTATGGTTCGTCAGATACGCCCAATCGAACATGTGCGAATTTGAGCGCGCATCACCCAGATCCAGGTGATGACGTCACAGCGTGCAGCCAGGTAGCCACACCATCTAGTTGTGTACAAAAATGGCCATATTCGGAGCGCGTTCGATTGGGGAGCCGTTTATCGCAGCTTCTTCGGACCAAGACCATTCGATTCAGTGTTACAAACACTACGTACCCTGTGATTTTCAGCTCGGTAAATCTGGAGGTTATACCGTATTTTAGCCGTTTCCGAGTTGGACTTTTCCGTTAGCCCGTCTACATGGTCTATGCGCTCTGCGCTGCGTGCATGCAGTGCGTGCAGTGTGTTATCTAGCTGTAGTGCATGCAGTCAACAAACTCATGTCACAACTCAGAACTGACACAAGACTCAGAAAACTAGTCAACACACGGACTTGTCATGTACTACACTCGTATCAGTCGTATTGTACAGTCATGTAGTCAGAGAACGTGCGTTTCTCCTTGCCGGTGCCGGTGGTTGTGCTTTGAGAAAGAAAATTTTAGTTTTCCGCACCCGCGGCGCCTCATTATTTTATGCTACAGCGATGAGTGCACAACCGTGACAAGTGACAAAACAGCGAACAGCTCTCGGACCTAGAACTTTCAGATTCCATAGCGTTGGGAGCGAAGAGTCGTGCCCGTGGTTCAAAGAGCCTGCACTGTTCTCCAATTGAGTAGTCCGAAATATTCCAAGTTCGCACCAAAACATCACCATGTGGCAGGCTACTGGAGTCTAAGCGAATCTAATCGGTATGGAACAACATTTAGAGCACTCGCATCACTCTTCTCCATTTTGGCGACCCTGCTCTCCAGCGATCTGATAATTACATCAGCCTCGTCTGCAATAGCTGCTGCTTCTTCATCAGTCGGAAACTCAGTAGCGCTCACTCTTGACCGGCCCGCGCGGCCATTTCTTCAGCTGACTACCGAGGTTCTCAGCCCCAGACCGAACTCATGAAGGTCAGCCATGGCTGCATCCTCACTCTCACAAGGAGTTACATGTCTTCGGGGTCGCTTGCACCACCTAATATCAGTCGCCAAATCATTTGAAATAGCACTGACACTATTGCTTTCACGCACTCCTTTTGACCTAGCTGCACGCTATGACGTTGCAGAGGGTGTGGCGCGGCCGCATGACGTCATGGCGCAGCCCCCGAAACTCAGTTTTTCAAACGGAAATATCTCGAGAACGCTTTGTCGGAGACACGTGGGACCAACACCATTCGACTCAGCGGCCGAAACTCTACCAACCCTGAAATTTAAATTTTTCACCGGACTTCCCCTTTAAACGAGTTGGAGGGCATGGCCGGGACAGCTCCATCCCAGTCCTGGTTGACTCCGATGGCATGATGAAATGCACCAAAAGCCACGACAAGGCTAACGTCATCGGGAAGTACTTTGCCCAGAAGTGCAGCCTAGACGATGACTTTGCAGAACAGTCGGGGCCGTTCCCGCATGTCCGCCAGCGCACCGCAAATACGCTTGCAACAGTGCACTTCCGCCAAGCCACCGTACGCCGGACATTCCGAGCCCTGAATCCAAGTAAAGCCACAGGGCCTGATGCAGTACCCGCTAGAGTGCTGAGAAAATGTGCCGACTCTCTGGCCCTGCCCCTATCCAAGCTGTTTACCCTGTGCTTCTGCAGTGGTCATCAACCTGCCATGTGGAAAGTTGCCAACGTCGTACCGGTACACAAGAAAGGCCCCAAGTCGAACCCCAGAAACTGCCGACCGATATCACTACTGCCCATAATGTCTAAGTGTATGGAGTCCATCGTGAACCGCAGCCTGTCCAACTTCCTGAAGAAGAATGACATCCTTTCTCACAGGCAGTTTGGCTTTCGCACTGGACTGGGAACCTCTGATCTGCTGATTGCTCTTCAGCATGCGTGGAGCCTTGCAGCTGCCAGTGGAGGCCTCGTCAGGGTACTCGCAGTAGACATTGCCGGGGCCTTCGACAAGGTCTCGCACAACGGCGTCCTCCACAAGGCTGAGCGGTGCGGCATAAGTGGCCCCCTCCTTGCCTGGCTCCGGAGTTACCTGACAGACCGCCACATCCGTGTCGTCATAGGCGGCCAGTCTTCACCGACCCGCCGAATCCAATCTGGCGTGCCGCAGGGCAGCATCCTCGGCCCCACCCTCTTCCTTCTGTACGTCAACGACGCAGAAGACCACCTGCCTGATGGGGCGAAGCTGGCTGTGTACGCTGACGACACAACTCTCTACAAGTGCATCACCACCCGAATCAGACTGCCAGAAGAGACAGCAATCCCCCAGCAGGCAGTAGACTCACTGGCAGCATGGGGAAGCAGGTGGAGGATCAAGTTCGAGCCCACAAAGTCGCAGGCATTGACCATCAGCCACCACTGCTCGCCCTGTGTTAGAGTATGGCATGCTGGTGTGGATGAGCGCAGCCCCCACCACCTTGGCCCGCCTCACTGCCATCCAGCGCCGTGCCCTGCACATAATTGGAGATGGATCATACCTCCCGAGCCTCGACATTCGCCGTACCGTAGCAGGGCTCTGCTTTCTGTACAAGCTGCACTTTGTGGAGGGTCCGGAAATGGTGAAAGCCATTCTGCCACCCTCAGCAGCCGCACCGCAATGCCGCATGTCTACTCGTGAGACAACCAGATCTGCAACACATCATCCATCACAACTCACCTGTATTCTTCCTCCTCAGTCACGAAACAACACGCTCCGCTCATTTCCCCACTCCCTCATCGCAACGTGGAATCAGCTCCCACCTACCCTTCTGCAGTCTCCCCCTTCTCGCAAAGGTATGCACACGTTCAAGAAAAATGTCAACGACCATTTGCGGCGCAGCAAGTGGGAGTGGGCCACAGACAGGCTATGATCTCTCCGTCGCAGCCAACACACCAGCCTAATTATACTGACCGCACTCAAGCTCCCTTCTACCCCTCTTTGATCCCCTTCGCTCAGCCTTAACATCCGATTATCCGTTCTCTCCATCTTCCTACGGTGCACTGCTTTTACTATTGTTTTGTCCTACCTCAATCTCAAATTCTCCCCATTATCGTTTGCAAAACCGGTGCTTCCCTCTTGGATGCACATGGTTCTTTTCCCCTATGTATCGGCGCACAGGAGTAACGATGATTCCGAGACCTTTGGTCGGAGGAGTTACTTTTGCTCCGCCCCCACTTCCATCCAATATGCCACCGCCCCCGCTGTGCAGCATCTGATGGTACTGCGGTATTCAGTAAAAAAAATGCCACGAGCAACGTATTCATTAATTGGAAACAGTCTTCGTGTATAATAATGATATTCGCTTACTTTGTAATCTGGGTGTAGCCATTCGTCCATGCGGCGAAGAAGGATTAGGGTACGTCTGCACATCTCCATAACCCAGGTCATCTACCAGCAACAGATATGGAGTGCAGTACAAATTTGTTAATGAATCATGGGCAAGAAGAGAAAGGACAACATGTTACGAGTCATGACTAACTGCGCCCGCCAATGCCCACCACGGCAACCAGACCATCATTCCACAGTCAGAGAGTGTGACTACAAGGCACAAAACGGATTCTTACTCTGAATCCTAGACAGACATGTATATTATTACATTTGCTCATCATCCGGGGTATACTTGTTTCGTGATTCTTTAAATATAACATTATGGTTTTCTGTGATAATAATAATGGTGGTAAAGACAAACCTGGTGAAATGGCACCATTGCAGCCTAGAGAGCACGTATGGGCAGACGTTTACTTTGAGGACAGGTTTATTCACAACACGAAACGTTTACTAGCATTTCCACCATTTCGTATGGTGTCTTTATCACCATGTCGCATTGTGTTACTATCAGTCAGAACAGCAGAGCAACAAAATCAATATAATTATTATTGTAATTCGTTCTCACTTCTCAGGCATACATGTAACTGCGAAGCACCGTCGACAGTCTTCACCCAGTGCCAGTCTGACCATTATTCAACCCCTTTCCTCTGTACTTCTACTGGCTTCTCACTTCACTTTCTCCATTCCCCACTAAATTGTCACCTCCTTTCCCTCCTCACTTCATCTCACACATTACGTACATTGTACATGTGTAGAAATTCCCTCGATGATCATTCCTTTGTTTGTTGAGAGTCCCCGACATGCTTAATAATCCTTGATCCATCAAAAAAGTCAATACCATCACAATGTCTTCGAACCGTATAAGTGAATTTTGAGTTACATGTATATGTACATGTACCACCTACAACCATGGTCTCATCTCCTACATGTACATGTACATGTACATGTATGTCCATGGATAGTCTGCGTCTGAAGAAAATCCAGAGCCAATTCCGCTCCATAAGCATTCAATTTCCTCGTGTGCACCTTTAACAGTCTGCCATAAGTGGGCAAGGAGAGCATAACACGTGATTAAATACTACATGTGCATGCCAACAACTGGCACTGGTGACATTGTCGGAAATTGTGGGGAATGGAACAGATCAGAAGGCTGACAAACGCCATGTGTGTGAGCTGTCTGAACAAATCGATCGCCTGACCTGACAGTACAGTACACCACAGAAAAACGCCTTGTGGTACGATCAGGCCCATTTTCCAATATTTAGCCCCTGCACGTTCTGAGCGTTACCTTTCGAGGTCATACAGCCTGCAAAACTGCAATTTAGGGCGATGCGAGGGCGAGCTCAGGGAGCTGGCGGTGGATGAAACCCCGATCTAGACCAGTTGTGCTTTAAGGTAAAACTCTCGCCACTCTCACGAGACCTATTTTCCACGCCTGTAAGGTATTTTCTTCCTATCATACCCTGGTTTCTCATCATATTGTGTTGCTTTTGCCTGTAAAGGAGGCTGTACGGAGATTTAGGGCCGTTGTAATTGCTATCATTCCCCTTGCCAAGCGCTGAAAACTTGTACAGTGCACCCATATTTGGTTGCAAGGTTGAGTGAAATTGAAATAAGCCATGTTTTGATATTTCCCCAGCCCACATGTAGCCGTACAGGTTGATATGACATGTGGCCGCGCGGAATTCCTTGCCCCAAAATTATTGGATAAGAATGCTGTTCCTACGCTGTGTGGTTCAATAAAATGTTACCTTCCCCATGAATCGACCCGCACCATGCAGCATGCGGGGACAGATGGCACGACATTTATCATATCAATTTCGCAACAGGCTTGAATTATGCTGTGAAAGGGACCCCGGTAAACTAACATAGTGGCAAACGGACCTATAGGTTCAACGCCCTATCGGAATGCATTGCTGGGAATTGGCAATCTGTGTTTGGGGAGGCTTATTGCGCCCCATAGAAATTCATTTCGCCACAGTTCACTCCTGTGGATTAACTGTATACCGGGCACATACATGTCATGTACATGTGCATCGTCCTCAGTGTACTACATGCGAACTACATGCATTACCCAACTAAACCCTTGGGATATGAATAGTCATAAAAGTAGTAACAAAGGCAGTAGTGTTGGTGCTGTTGACTGTGGCAAATGAAATCCGGACCGTGTACAGTTGCCACTCGCCTTCGACCTCCTGAGCGTTCTCTTGCGCACGTTTTTATTGCAGTCATCAAATCAGTTCGCCCCTCTGCCTCTGAAAAGTGCAATTCCGGCTGGATTTCACCTGACACAACTGAAGTGCCAGTCTTTTAGTTTGGCACAAGTAGGTAGTACTACTACTGTTGTCGTGTTCACAATGGTGATCAATGATACTGGTATTCGATCGCTATGAATACAACTGCACCCCAATGCATGTGCCTGGTGTGACCTACATTGTACAATCATAGTCATTGTTGATCACGACACCAGTGCAACCTTCAATACTACAGCCATCCACAACACCTAGCCAGGTCCAAACAACCCTCTAGCGAGCGGGAATACTGGTTTGTCTGGTGCTGAATGAGAACTCCGACAACCCACCACTAGCAAGGATTCTGATGGGAAATAGCACATTTCCTCAACGCTACGTGCCTAAAATTGGAGCAGCCTTCAGCTACAGTGTACAGTGTACCTCCAGCATACTGTAGTAGCCAGTAGTCAGTATGCCTATCATAACGTTACGTTATCACCGGTGTTGTCATTCACTATCGAATGGGTGCAGCACGCTTCCACCTGCAATATGCTGGAAATCACGTCCGGGGCAGTAGGTCAATACCCACCACACTGCGCTGATGCCAACTATCATAATTATGTACTGAAATGTTCAACTTTGAGTCCTTATACAGACAGCATATCGTGCCTACTACACATAACAGTTTATATAATACAGATAATTATATCAGCAACACGGTTTCAATGAGCCCTATTCCTGTGTACTGAGCCTGACCTGCAAGGATGAATAGGATGTTCGTTGCCGTGCAGAGCTGCACGCCGAACAGAATCAGACCACCGAGCAGTGGCAGAGGCATTACGCTCCCGCGAGCTACCATCGTTCCGTGGTCCCTGGTATTCTTCCTCCCTCTGCTAGCGCTCCCGATCAGTGCAGCTCTCTCTCTCTCTGTCTGTATCACTCCGAACTCAAGTCGTGTGGCGTGCGTGACTACAAATCGCCTTGCTTTGAGCGTCGAATGTGGGTTGGGCTTTCATCTATCGTTCACCAGGTGAGAATTCACGATGAAGAAGTTTATTGATGGGCGCGGTGGCTGCAGATGCTTGACAGGGGCTGTTCAAAGAGAACCAAGTCCAGCGTGCATTGCAATGCACATGTAAGTAATTACTCGTGCTCAGATCATAATGTTTTCAGTGACGGCTACGTAATGCCTTTGGAATCGTCATAGCAACTGTATGGGCTGCTACTAACTAGTATTCATGTCAAGTGGCAGGGCTACAGACAAAAACGCGTTCATAATAGGGTTGTTTGTCTGTAAAATTCTGAATTCATTGAACAGTCGTCAACACTCGGACTGTGCAAGCCGGCTATCTCAGTACGACTCCCTGGCCAAATATGTCAGGACTGGGTTGCACCAGGGCATGCCACTGACTGTAACTGTCAAGGAACGTCAGGAATACTTATCGGTTCCCTGCACTCACCTGCTGCTTCTGGCAACAGTGGAAGCAATCGCATGAAACCAACTGAAGACATTCAGATGGTCCGCTTGTGCTCTCCAGTATCGCTATGTAGTCATACTGCGTTTAGATCAAACGTATCGTTCTATTGTTAATAATGATGGTGAGCTGCTTTGAACGACGGACATGAGATTCCATGCATGGAACACAATTGAGGAAATCAGAACAGACCTGACAGGCGCACATGCATAATGTGTTGAAAGTAAATGCTGGCACGGCGTTCCACATCGACCATGTTATCTTCTTGGGCAGCGGCATTGCACAATATTCGTCTAATTTGGTCAGACTGTGGTGAATTCTCTTCCAGCTAAACCGGTAAAATGCATGCATGTACACTGTATGTATGCACTGTTGAGTGTCAGGTAGGCGATAAAGTTTTGGTGGAATGCACCAGATGAGAAGCGAAGGAGTGCACCAAAGAAGGAAAGGGCCCAATTTCCAGTTACATAATTCTAACGTTACGTGTCGTCTCTGTTGCTCTTGACTGGCTGTTGACATCCTTTTCTTCACGGGGTTGGCGTTGCTGTTGCTTTTGCTATTCTTTCGTTTTCCCCTCCTAACCCCTACGTATCCGTGTAGCCGTGGTTGGCTACCACCCACTCTCTTCACATTGGCCGGTGTTTCCAACTTTCCACTGAATCCTGAGATGTTACAATAAATATGAATAACAATCTACATTTGTATGATTGTAAAGTAACTGGTGGTGTGATTGGATATTATAGCGTAGCTTGTAGCTCTTTGGTCCTCTTTTCTTCTTATAAATTAATCATTGGCTGCCCACCCGACTCTAACAACAATGTATGCGGGGCTGGATAAGGTGTAACCGTACATTGTAGCTCCACAGAACGTGGGCCGGTATGTTGCTTCATGTCAGGCACACATACATGTACACCCCTTTGAATTTAGGTACAAATAAATACTTTGGGGAAAGGAAAGTACTTCGAAATACCTTTATTTGGGCAACCCACAAATTTTGATACAGAATGCGACACCAAGCGGGATAAAATAGTTACCAAAATACAGTAAGAGAACGATGTTAATGGTACCATGACAATCGGCTATTGTTAAAAGTCACTTGCCAACCTACATGTACTTCAGTTAAAATGTACCATTCCTAGTTGGATATCACGGAGACGATTCTGCATTGCGATACACTGAGCATGTTCATACATATTTCTCAAACTGCGAAGACTTGCCCGAAAATTCGAATGATTCTCTTTTTTTATTCAACTCGGATGGTGAGCCAATTAAACTATGATGAAAAAGTTAGTCATAACTCGTAACATTTGTCCTTCTCCTTCTTTTTTATTGATTGCCGTAGCCCAGAGACCGTCTGGAGAGTGTCGTGAAGATGTATGGATGTGTTCATACATGTATGCACATTACATGCATTCATCAGGTACAGGACTACAGGTGTACAAAAATGCGCTGAGACACTGGGGATCTGCACCTCGCATGGTATCATTTTGACGTTCAAATTGATCGGGTGACAGGCGCCCATTGATGATCGCTCCACCCTGGTTAGGGCCGGGTTGACGGGTTGATCTGGGAGACTTGAGTTGGACATGGTTGCCCATGGCATCCGACTGCTCACCAGCGTTTGACTGATAAATATTACGTAACAGACAAGTCTAAACAAAGGAGAGAATGCCACTCGACCTCTGCTCAAAACCCAATGTGTCAATATGACAGGTCCAGGTGATAGACACCAAATTCTTCTTTACAGCTACATGTACAGTCATGTAGAAGTATGTGGATTTCAGAAACTTGACGGAACCTCTGGTGCTGGAATAGTGGCGTAACACGATGTTTTCTTCCCTGATACGTATCCGTCTTTTTGACTTTCCCAGCTTCGCTGAATTTACCAGACCTCTGCTCTGGGGTACATGTACATGTATGTGTATATGGGTGGCTTTTCTTCTTCTACAATGCTGCTTTCACCTGCGAAAGATATTGCTAAAATTCAAACATTCCCACTGAGGCATCCAGTGCGGGTGGGGAATGTTACAAACCCCTGACAGTCGTTTGATTGTGTCCATACTGTGAGGATCTTTCAATGACAACAACCAAATGTGCTCGTTTACATGTATATACATTCTTTACTTTGATTGGATTGAAAATGTACATTGTTACGTTACATCTATACTGGCATGAGTACAAGTTATGTGTAGGTAGACTACTGGACATGTGATTGTACTAGTAGACGCATCACCGAGCCTGGCTGGCAGCATACATTGCCATGCACTGAACCTGTAATTAGTGTAAAGATGGACAGACTGTACATTGTATTCAGGGTACCAGCGGCAGACTGATGTGAAATGTCACCATAGTGCCGGTACGTCGATCTCTGATGTTTATCATTACCCATCAGTGTCAGCATGTTCATCTGATATTGGGAAGACCTTCACGCCTCTTTGGAGTGATCAACTCGCGTGAAGACTTGGAAAGAGATGCACTCACCCAATGGGATTATGGTAGTTTGATTAGCTCATGACCTCTGTAATGTTTTCTACGGAGAATACGGACGTCATCACAGGTCTGATTGTAATCCGACAATTCTGAAATATGTGCTGATGAGCAGTAGCATGTAGTTAATGCGTTTGTCTGATGCCCTGGCCCTCAGTCATCGGCTTGGAAACATTAGTGATTGTAATACCAAACAGGACAGTGTGAATGTCCTCAACCTCATCCATGCATTTCTAAAACACACACACGCACGCGCGCACTCATATCCATTCAACGACATTTACGAGTATCCGAACAATTATTGGGCAGAATCACCATGAGTAAGAAACATCCAATGAACGTGAAGACGTGCTGGACATCACGTCATGTTAGGCTGCATCGATTTCAAGATGGTTGCCTTGGTTACTCATAGCATTCCTGCGCAATCAACAGAAGTCAACTACATTGTAGCTGCAGTGAAATCTTTCTAAGGCGAGCGCTCAAAGGACCTTTAAAGTGTGGTCTCTGGTACCAGGCGGTCTCCTTATCCCGGGTTATTTGACTGGAAATAGCATCCATTGGTCCTGGTTGCAGCGGTCTTCTTGAAGAGGTGGTTGCTTTATCCAGGTGGTCGCCTTGACAGGTTTTACTCTACATGTATACGGGTAATTATGAAATTGTGAACAGGCCCTAGCTAGCACTTTGGGGATCATCTGCTGGTGGAAACATTGAAAATATACATTGTCTCATTTATCCTACTCAGCGTTTTAGCAGCAAGTCAAATGTGCACCCTCATAATACAAGCATGCCAGGGTATCCCGACTTGAGAGTGACATTAGTGATTTCTACAGGAACCGGACGTGACGGCAGCCATCGTACACGAGTGGAGCAGGAACTCGGAAAGGTCATACCGTTGAGAAGATACGCCACGGCAGCGGGAGATAGTGTCATGATGCCACGATTGATGGTCTGGGGATATTCCCAAGTGGGAAAGAATGGGGCCGTATTGTCGCCAATGTTGGTAGTAAAAAACTAGTAATTGAATTACAAGACTAAGTGTACATGTTGTACATGTACTGTAGTGATGTGTGGAGATATATGTACATGTACATGGCATGCGTATGAGTCACACGAGACCTGAAACCCAATTACACTATAGGAACGCATCAATTCCTAGGTAGGAATGTGCACCAACTCTGAAGGGAAGAAGGATGTGACGCCACTCCTGAACTACTCCTCTACTCTTGACGAGGCGGCTGAAACTGGCAATCTACCCGCATGTAACTGGTAAGAACAGTAATGACGAACTTCTCCAATCTTCAGATGGATTTGAAGTTTGAACTGCAAAAGGCTGCAGCCTGACTTCACAGTCGTGGCGAGTATCACGACGTGGATCAAGCAAATCGTCTAATTTGGATAATAACGCTACACATCCTTGGTATGCTTGGGGGTGGCAGTGAAGACATGAGGATGCAAACATTAGGTTCCAGCCAGTGCCTTTCTGGCACGGTTCCTCGGCTTGGCGAACGGCTGAACGAGCTGCGGGTAGCGCAGGTGCGAACTGGACGCTTCACCCTCCTCGCTCAATCTATTGACCACCTGTGACCTGAATTCGCCGGATACTTCAGTGTCTTCAGTGCATACTACTAGTACTGCGTTGTGTCGTAGCCACCTCGGGATGGGTATGGGGTATTTTCCCCTCGATTGTAAGCCACGCGCATACCGGACACGTGACATCCTAATAAGGCAAAGACCAGGACCCTTGCCTGGATCGTAAACAATAAGTTGTGGATCAGCATAGGACCAGACAGTATGAGTAGCAATCCACAACAGAGCGACATCCGGGTTTCCTCCTTTACTCCTTAGGCTTAGAATACCTAACTATACATCCTTCCAATGACGAGAAAAGGAGTAAAGGTTCGAGTTATGAAATGCTTGAACAGACAAGAGGCCACACCAGGGGCTCCACGCATACATGCACATGTATACACACCACGCCTGCGCTCGCATGAAGAGTGACACTGGTGAGGGGTATTCTCTGGTGCCTTAGCCTAAGCAGGAATTCACTCATCGCCAGTGTGCACGCATGCTTTGATGTCCTGCTGGCAAAGACTGCAGTACAACAGAGCACCTCAACTCTCTCTCACTCACCGTTTCCACCGAACTATAGTATTTTGAGATTGTAATAATGTATAATGTTAAAGCTGCATAATATAGTTGGTCAATTGTCAATAATAGCCCGTCTTTCTAGTAATAATAAATAAGCTGAGCGCTACTCGGTATAATAGATAAATAAATAAATACAGTGCATCATTAAATAGGGGGGGGGGGTAGATTCAAGCAGGTATGGGAGAGCTTCTCTTATTCGACCTGGATAGGGCGGCGAATAGAATCGGACTATACAAATATTAGCGGCTTCTGATCTCTGGGTAAATCGGATTGGCATGAAAATCTGGTAGAAATACAATTCGGAATTTGAGAATAAATATAAATACCCAGGGGAATGACAGCATGTTTAGACTGGTTGTCTCAAGTTTCAAGCAGCAAATAGACATTGAGCGTAGCATCAACTAATCCAGTGGCAGTAGGGTAATAAGTTCGTAGCACCGGGAGAAACCAAGTGATAAACACAAATGGATGGGAGCGTACATGTATGGGAATTGCAATAACGCATGTTCTGATGCTAGGGCAGGGCATGAGCTATGTTTCCGAGACAAAGTTCATAAGCCATGGCGTTGGAGTCGGGGGCATGAGGCTAAGCCGTAAACCACGGAGGAGTGGGGATTGCCAACTACAATAAATAAAATCTAGGTACTGTTGAACTGAATCTATTGATGTGTATAATATGTTTTGAATAGGGCATACCTTTGCAGCAGTGTGGATGCTTGAACCACTGGCAATGGCACCAGGTGTATTCTGGACGCCTCCTCGCTGCTTGGATCTGCCACCAGCACTAGCTGTGTGCGCTTGTGCACAAGCATGACTTTCTGATGCCCCTCCAGCTGGGGGTCCGGGTGATCTCTGAGGTGGAATATGTTCTCTTGGTGCTCAACGGCATCCCTGGCCATTGTTGAGAGCTTGTTGCACTGTACTGTCAGGTCTTGTTTGCTGCCAGTGGTACTCGTGAATATCACCTCTTCTGACTGGGAGTGCCGATAGTGGTAGGTGAATCTACCTGATGAGCAGCCAAGCAGAAGCAAACCCAAAGGAAAAACAGTATTAGATGCACATTCGGTGACACTTGACTTAGGACAGTGTGACAAACTCGAACATGCATTCTTGTACTTTCATACCCACCATAAGGGTTCGAGAAAAAAATCTATGGAGTTTAGACTTTAGAGCTAGATTGTATCTCCCAGTAATCATTGAAATTGCTTTGTGGGAATTATTTGTCGCCAAGCATTTGAAAAACATTTGTTTTCACTCGCTTCCTAAATGACATGTACATGTACTTACTTTCTGGTGCTGCTAGGCTCCGCAGGACTACGGAATTTGTGCCATCATTTTCTTTGTGTAGGGCGATGGCTAGATAGAGCACTGTGTTGAACAGGCTGATTGCTGCCATTTCTAATACTGTATGAGACCAACCGGGAGTGCCGAACAAACAAATTGGAAATAACTGATGATTTCTGACAAATGCCTTGAGTGACGAGCTGAAAGCTATAGCTGCGCTTTTTATACGACGAATCGCCACATACATCTACAATACAATGTGGACTTCACATCTTTCTGCAGCGGATGGAGCATGGCCACCTGCCCCGGGAGATTTCTGGAGTTCAGATTGTCACAAACTCGCATCAATCCCAGTAATTCATCACACTTCGAGGCTAGGTCTCGCTGCGGCTGTGTAGTCCGCAGGCTGTAGAGTTGAGAGGTGGCCTGTGACGCGAACCTCAGCACTGCAGTGCTCATACCCTTCAAGTGGCTTGCCACCAGCATCGCGAACTCCGGGCCAAGGCAGAAAAGCTCCATGCTGCCAGAGCTGCTATATTTATCACACCCGCATGGCAGCCTGTCCAAGTCCGACAGGCCAGTCCGAACTACTGTAGTCTGTAGTTGCTCGATCAGTACACACTCGATCAGTGTATGGCTGTGCTCAGCGGGCTGCGTGTACCGCAATGCATGCTGTGCGGGCCATACATGTACATGATTGTATTTGTGTGATTTGCGGAAAGCTGGTTACTACATGTAGTACCGTTCCGGTCCCACTATTATTCCAATCCAAACATTCTGATGTTTAGCCTCCTGTCGTAATGCATGGATGTATGCGCCACGCTACCAAGATTTCCTAGGTCAGGACCAGGTGCCAGGGATCGCGGTCATTCATTCTAAAGTACAAATCCATTTGTACATGATTTGACTATTACCAGTAATTTCGTTCAGAAGCGGACCAGGCATCATGACTTTGCACATCTATCGTTACGCTGCTTCATTACGCGACCTGTTTTATTATAATTATTCGTAGTAGTTCAGTTACTAGTAGTTGTTGTGGCAGGGCCAAGGCAAGAAGCTCCAATGTTTGCAGCAGTTTGCAGTCGTGATGGGGATACTAAAACGGGCACGGTATCCGAGCTTTGCAGCAACGGATTAGTCAACAGAAAGGTCTTGCACTAACCTTGCAAAGACTTGAGAAAGAGCTCAGCTGATACCAACCTAAGGTCACGCATGATACAAATGTCCTTTTCGTTCAATGTACAAGTTTAATCTCTTTTCAATGTGAATCCAAATCACAGGCTAGGGCATCAATTGTCATATACAATGTACGTTTTCATTTTAGGACACTTTCACTATTAGTCAGGGAAAGATGGCACTTTTATAAAAGACAATAATACAGCAATACCCTTTAAGGTAAAGTGTTTAGCTTACCCCTGATGTACATTTATGTTTAGCACAACGAGATCCGAAATACATCGTAGCTGCACACACACACATGTACATGTACAAGTAAATAAAACCATGTACTGGTCAGTGCTGCCCTATGGCCTGCATCTGCTGGGTGACATAAGGACATTGTATTCGTACTTTTTATTTTACGTCGCAAAGTCAAACCTGATCCTTCCCCAACAATAATACGATAGCGAAGGGTGGAGGGGGGGGGGGGTGACATAACATAATAATAATCTGTCGTAATCAAATGTGTCCATACTCTTGAGGGTGGGATTAAAGACCAGAAGAACATCGCCCACATACATATTACATATTACATGACGATTGTAGACATACATGTGTACAATAATTATACACTGTACATGTGTACAATCATGCCATTGTACATGTACCAACTCACGCAATCATTTTTATAATTACACTATCATCACGGATCATCCATTCGCGCTATGATCCAAGCTTGCAGCCTATATCAATCTTATCTTCTGAAAATTGTAGTCAAGTTGCTGTCTGATGATCGGTTAAAACCGTGAAACTCAGAGTTACAGAAGAAACGCTTTTCATCCCTCTCAAGTGTGTGTATATGTACATGTACATGAACATGCTCAATCTGCGGACAGAACTGTTTCGTCCTTTGTGGACTCGTCAGCGCAGCACAGAGAAAATGAGGCCGAACCTGATAGCAATGGAAATAAAAATTTCCAATCAGGTCCGAACTTACCTTGCCAGAGTGCTCAAACTGACAAGTCAGTGCAGAGCTCACTGACTTGTCAGTTTGAGCACTCTGGCAAGGTAAGTTCGGACCTGATTGGAAATTTTTATTTCCATTGCTATCAGGTTCGGCCTCATTTTCTCTGTGCTGCGCTGACGAGTCCACAAAGGACGAAACAGTTCTGTCCGCAGATTGAGTATTTCGCTCCTGCTCTTGTAGCAGTTGAGCACTCTTGCGTGGGGTAGTGCCTTTGCTGTTTGCGTTATGTACATGAACATGTATATGCACTGCTTCTTCCTGATCAAAGAGGTTACAAACTTCATCAGCCAAGTAACTATTGTAGTTGTTTGAGACTGAGAGCTACATGTACTAGTAGTTTCGTCCAACCTGGGAAAGTTGGCAATAACTTTATGTACATGACTTGTACATGACTTAAGTTGTACATGACTTGTACATGACTTGTACTGAGTGTACTGACAGCCGCTGTACTTGCATCAGTGTAACTGTAAGGCACATTCCCTCGTGTTGTGATTCTCGAAATTCCAGAGTTGCCACCCGCGGGAATGTCCACACTTACTTGCACGGTGAGCATCAAAGTGTCCCACTCACCCCGAGTAGGCCTTGGCGGATAATGCCGGCAGAAAAATTGGCAGAATTCGGTACTTTTTCTGGTAAGTTTCATGCATGTTTGGTATGTGGATAAAGAAATGGAGCAGAATTCGAGGAACTGCACGCCATAAGGTTTGTATGGTTCTGCCAATTTCACTGCTTTTCGAGCAGAATCTGCCACCTTTTCGAGCATTATCCGCCAGGGCCTAACCCCGAGTCACCCGTTGTAAAGCTAGGAGAGACGGCGTGAAAACATGCGCTTTATTACGCCCTACAACACAACAACTTGCCAATGCACTCTCTTAGTCTTACCTGGGGTAAATAATTGTGGATACTACCCCGGCCCGAATCGGACACAGACTAGTGCGTGACATAGGCGTTATTCTGTAAGAATGCGTGGTACGCTGCCAGCGCAGTGGGCGCCCACGCACAAACCGTGGCTCCGGTGACTGCATACACGGTAATCGCCGTTGTGTGTCCCATCTATCCGTACACGGATCAGTGGTCTGCAGCGAAGTCCATACCAGTGACAGTGTTATCCATGGCCTACGTGCTACTGAGCCGTGGAGGAATAATGCCAGGGGCATTACAAAAAGTCGAACCTCACGCGGAATCCCCAAGCTCTGATCCATAATGGAGAATAATACAAAAAGGTCATGCACGATCACAAAAACTCAGAGAACATACATGAACAATGAATTACAAGATTGTGTACAATGAATTATGTTGTGTTGACCTACATGTAGTACCTGCATTGTAACACTTTACTGCGTCTTTACTGCTACCTGAGGTGATGAAAATGTACAGACTGCACTTGTGCAATCATGTATCTTGGATACTGTTTAATCATGTCAATGTGGCAGAAGCACTAGCGCTAGCCTATACTGCTCCGGACCAAGACCCCTGTCAAAGTGTGCGAGCAAACATTGCGGAATATTCATCATAACTCCTCGTCGGTTATTTGAATATTCATCAGTTGACATTTTTTGAATCAATCATTTTTCATTGAATTCAAGATTTCCTTGAGGCTCTCGGCCTACCGTCGACTGGTGAGAGATAACGCCGATTCACATCGTGAAAATCAAAGGATAACTACATGACGTACAGTCATGTACATGTAACTGTTACATGTACTTCTCAGAGCCGTCTGTGTACCAATGGTGTACTGCGACTGAAATAACTCAACTACTTCATGTATGACGACGGCGCTCTGGCATGAACACAACGAACGGGGTGAGTCTGCAGAGGTGAAGTGTGCTGCGCGTTCTATTGCTACACAAGGTCAAAACAATGGCTCTGCGCCGTTTTCCGCCAGTCACTTCAATTCCTGGCGCTAGTCTTGGTGGAAATAATTGACAACGTTTTCATTGCCAACATAGAGAGATAGAGGACGTCCTTGAAGAGGCCGCCCACCCTACGAATATCCCTGGAGACATGGGGCTAGAGGATTGAACTGTTCCCACTTCTTTCAAAACAGTGCGACTTCTCAAGGAGACGAAGAAAAATGATGCGAACCTGGGGTTTTCACAAAGTTGAATACGTGATCGTTAAGTACAATGTACATGTACACGCACATGTATGACCAGAATATGGCATTGTGAATCGGGAACCACCATTTATTTCCCTCAATGTTTGCTTCGGGAAGCAGCTTACTCAGTAACTGCACACTGGGACATTTCACCGTGAGTCTGGACGCCCACAAGATAACATTTCACATATTTATGCTGGACGATGTGCACGGTGAATGTTGAGAACGGCTTCGGGGAAGACTGGCCATATCAGCAGACTCTATGATGGAGTTGAGGATGTACATGATTGTACATGTCTAATTCATATTTTCAAGGCACCACGCAAACAGGAAGCCGCCTCTAGTGCAGACATTCCATATCCAAAATGAATTATTTTGCGTTGTCTTGTGTGAACATGGGATTTACTGGTGAGACATGTTCCAAAATGTGACGTGTTGGCTTTCTGGCTATTTTGGGAAATTCTATCACTATCACCACCACCACCAGTAGCAGCAGCAGTAGCTGCTTGGTGCCTGTGCTGACCCCAGAATGTACCCAACCGCATACATAATTGCTCCTACATGTGCTGCGCGATGTACAATGTACAATGTAAAAAAAGTACATGACTTTGCTATTTCTCGATGCCCGCCTGTGCGTTTGTTGCTTATCATGTTCGTGTTTGTATTCAATTTGTTTTGTCCCGTTTCTTTAACTTATTTTTGGGAACACAGCCCCATGCTGTGTGAACAGTCGTGTTGAGTTTACGTTGTACATGTAGAGTCTACATGACTGTACATGCATGATGTAGAGGGGACGGTTTCAAATAGGACACCGGTTGCAAACCGGAACGGACTCAATATTCACTTTCTCTCTTGGTATTTTGATTAGAAAACATATGTCACAGTGAGACTACTATGTGTTATACTCC